TCCCAATGGTGTGCATTCTTGGCATTTTACCCTTAATATGACACAATGTATCTATTCACCTTTCAGACTCCATTTATATTGACCTATATAGTTGGACAAATGCTAGTAGGTTAAGAGCTGCTTCACCTTTATGGCAGACCAGAGAAGTATCATTCATGCATTGTGACCTTTGTTTGCGGTCATTAAACTGCTGTTTGTGCTTGAGAATCAATTCTACGCGTGAACAATGGTGAGACAGAATGATCTGACAGGACATATTGCAAGTGGTCCACCTGTTGCTGTATTAATTCAGTAAAACCCTGCAATAGAGAAGAGATGATGCTTTCATCTTTTGGCTTAACTTTAAAATCAAATGAAAAATGTTGGCATCAAAGAAAATGGTCTTATGGTGTGAATGACTTTGTTGTGTGCAACACCAGCTACAGAGAGAAATGAACAAACACTGTTGTTTCTCTGTAGAGAAGGCATTTTTCCTCCAGGTGATTCCATTGCCACCGTCCAAAGACATGTAGGTTAGGTGAATGGGAAGCTAAAAGTGTCTGGATGTGAAGATGAATGACATTTTGAGTTGATCTGTTAGCCTGGATCGGATGGACAGATTGACGACCTTTCCAGGGTGTACCCCTCATCTCTCCCGCCCCCCCCACGACCCTGAACAGCATAAGCCATATAACAGATGGATGGATAGATAGCATCCTCAAATTGATTTGATGCCGTAAGAACAAAAAATATGTCTCTGGCGCATATACAATACCTTTCTTTAACTATTTAAACTCTTCTGTTATAGCTCTGCTAACAAGAATAAAAAGAAAAAAGAACTAAAGATGGAAACCATTTCAACTCGTTACTCTATATATATAAAGTTATGTCAGGCTTTAATCAACAGACAGCCATGTGTTCCAGCTGCGAGGGCTGCTGCCAGATGGCCTGGCCCCTTCCCCTGCACAGTCACAAATACCAGCCCCTGTCAGTCAGCTCACACAGAGACTCAGAGGGTGGCTGGCCTCCGGTCTTTCTGCCGGGAAACATGTGGGGAGTTGACTGGCTGCAGAGCGATAATGAGGTCCAGCACTATACTTGATTGGCATGAACACAACCAGAGGTTTAGAAGTGAGGATTAACGATGTCCTCCCACACTCTTTTAGAAGTTCACTATTTGAATAACCCTACTCCTGTCTCCTCATCTCACTTCACCTTGTCCTTTTATTTCCTGCTGTCTCCCTCCCTCTGTGCTCCTCAATACACAGCCCTGTCCTTCCTTCCACTATCCGTCTGTATATCAGCCTGTCTCATGAAGAGCTGCTGTCATGTCCTAGAGATGAGACAAATCACATGGGGCAGGGCTGTGACGTTGTTTGGGTTATGACCCAATGCAGTTTCCCTCAGAGTGTCCTTTGAGAGAAGCTAATAAGAAGCAACAGCAGAGCCACACAGAGCAATCACCAGTTAGCGCAGAAAAAAGATATGCTATGGCTATAGTGCAGCACTCACTACTGATGTGTGACTTTCCCCGTGGTGCCCTGCTTCTTAATCTGTATGAAGGGTCCGGGTCACTGGCCAGTGTCTGATGGATCCATGATGACAACACTAGTAATTTATTCAAATGAGCGCCGGTCTCAAGGCAAGCTACGCGATTACTCATTTGGGTTATCGGTCATGAAAGTCCGAGACCTCTTGCCACAGAGTATTAGGTTTGAGCTTTTCCACAATCTAGATGTGTTATGTTCCATTTTTAGCCAAGGCAACTGTCACCCTATTAAAAGACCTGAAGTGTGGTGTTTTCCCATCCTCTCCAGGCTTTCGTCCCAGAGGTGAGAGGTTTTCCTCTCACTTCACATGGGAGACAAATGAGGTCATCTTTTAGCAGAACATTCACTGATATTTCACTAAGAAAACGTACTTTTATTGTCATGTGACAGACTGTACAGTAAAAAATACTTCTTAGCTTTTTTCATTCAAATAACATTTTCAGTGGTTACATTATTTTTCAGTATAAGTTTGCTTTGGTTTGGCACAATTTCTATAATACAATGTTTCATTTAAATGTATCTGAGTTGTATTAGTTGAAATGACAGAAAAAACAACTAAACGCGTCACAGTACAACCCACAACAGATATGAGGTAGATATACTGGTGAGAAAATGTATGGAACTTAAAAGTCAGCATAGTTTTTTGTTCAGGATTCTGAATTCTAACAATTTTCAATTGGGATAGTTAAAGTTAGCAAGGGTCAAAGTCCTGTAGGCGAATACATCACCAACAGGGGAAGATGTAAAATAAATCTCCCCAAGCGACTGGACTTGACTTATTGGAGAAACTTCACTTTGCATTAAAAAGACTATTTGTGTTATGACAGCTGTAAGTTTACACCTTAGCTAATCAGCTTTCATTAAAGTGTTTTCAATATATTTAGCGGTGGTCTGCTATGTCTTTACTGCTTTTTAAACAGCGCGTCTGCCCTAAATGTTCGAGTGACCACGTCTGCTGCCACTCACCGTCACAAGGGAGTAAACCGGAGAGTGGGAGGGCGTTCACATCGTCACAGTGTTGTTACAGTTCTGTGTGGCTGCTCACTTTCCATGTCTCCTCCCTCTCCCCTCCCACTCGTCTCTTCCCCCATCCTCCCTCTGCAGTGGACGTGCATCGCATTTGGAGCAGCAGGCAGCAGGTGGAGATGACATCATCTGCACTGCAGCACACTGCAGCACTGGGTCTGAACAAAGACATGTCAGCCTACCGCTAACTATCCCCCTCCTCTCTCTCTCCCTGTCTCTCTCTTTCTCTCTCTCTCCATCTTGCCATCTACACCCCCCACCCCCATGTCAGCCAGAGGGAGAGGGAGAGCATAGCCTTGTACCAAGTCAGGTTGTAGTGCTGTGACCTATCTCAACCTTCTGACTCCCCTCCTGACACCAGCACTCAGGCTCTCAAATGTTCACCTCACCTGTTTACACAAGTCACCATGTGGATAGGTCAAGATGGATCCCACATAGGACGAAGCACTAAAAGCGCTCCAAGCTTTTTTCCTGCTTGATAAGAGAGTGATGACTGATCTGCCTGCAGACTCACGTAGACAGTCTACGGCACACATCAGGAGTGAAGGCAGAAGCCTCGGTGTTGTCCACCCAGAGATTCACAGTGCAGCATGTTGTCACAGAAAGCACTAATTGACCAGCGAGTGACATTATGTTGGTCTGTCCAATGATAGCAGTTACTTGACCTCTTTTGCAGAGGCTTATACAGTAGGATGTCTGACTGTGACATTAGCTCCCCATGGCGCAAATGTCACCAGGTCGTGCTGTGAAGGCTCCCCACTTAGAGTCATTAGGTCCTTACCTACGGCGTCAACACTGAGAAAAGAGAGTAGGCCAAGTACACAAAAGAACAGCAAAGAAGATTTATGGACTCTATTTTTTCATTGTTTGCCTTTCTCTCTCCATTTCTTTTGCTTGAGTCCTTCCCCTCCCCTTCATCAATAAGCCAATAGCACGCAGGCAGACCATACACACACAGCCATGTTCCTGTCGCCTAGTTACCGCTCGGCAGCAGGTTGCCACAGAAACGGCCTCATAGCGGCTAAATGGAGAATGCTAATGCAGTCTTCTATACTCCCTGCTGCAGTGGGCTCTCTGCGCCCATCCCATTCCACTGTGTGTGTGTGTGTGTGTGTGTGTGTGTGTGTGTGTGTGTGTGTGTGTGTGGTGTGTGTGTGTGTGTGTGTGTGTGTGTGTGTGTGTGTGTGTGTGTGTGTGTGTGTGTGTGTGTGTGTGTGTGTGTGTGTGTGTGTGTGTGTGCGTGTGTGCGTGCGTAAGTGCGTGCGTAAGTGCGCGCGTAAGTGCGTGCTTGCATTGTGTGTGTGTGTGTTTAGGTGAGTGTTATTGGGTGTCTCTGTAAACCTTGGTGTCTTCTTGTAATCTTAGATACACGTATTGCAACAGGTTCAACATTGCAGTATTCTTAAGTGTCTGGACTTTTTACTATGACCTACTCAAAAGCATTTAATTGTGAGCAAATAGTGCTTGGTGATGTCACACAGTCTGCCAAGTTTCATAGTTACACCCTGTCTGTTTCACTAATTGAAATACATTTAGGTCTTTAGAAGTCACTTGCTCTGTCCTCTCCTCAGAGGCATTTAATTATTCATATGTCCTCTATTGTGACAAGGCTGAGAACCTGAGCAGAAAACTGTACTGACTGACGAAGGGTACACAAAAGGAGTTGCCTTCTAAGCAGCGTGTAAACACTTTAAACTTTTATACACCTCCATCCATCTTAATGTAAAGAAAGGCTGGGTTTTCAAGGAGTCTGGATAGGTGATTGATTCTGTACTGTGAACTTCTCAGTCCTCCTACCGTACAGACTCATGGTACGGGGGTGGGATGGGAGTCTTGGCCACAATAGGCTATACTTAATCAGCTGGAGAGGGCCCTCAGCTGTACACTCCCTCCAGAGCGTGTCTGAAGCCCTTTGTGAAAGGGTGGACACATTCAACATGCCCCCACTCATTAGCCAATCATTCAACCTGTATTAGTGTGCCGGGGCTGTGTTTGATTGGTGAGGCAGGAGTTCTGTGATGGCAGCCATTAGCAGATGATTGATAGGCTCGAAAGGTTATTTTAGTAAAGCCAATGTTTTGATGAAGTTAATGATTGATGCTATTGTTTTCACTCACACTCTGGGGAGATTAATAATGATTATAATGTTACAGCTGAAAGTAAGATATTAACTTGCTATCAGCTTTGCAGTATCTCAGAAAGAGGCTAATGCATTTGTTCCCTTAATGGTTGATTGTACGCCTCATGATGCTAAGCCCCAAGTCACTGCGACAGTCTTAGTGCTGCTCAGAGCAACATATTTGGTGCAGCTTGTGGTGCATACTGTGTGATCATTTGTCTTGTCAGGACACAGGGTTGTTTGTGCTGGTAATAGCAAAGACAGCCATTTTTTTCTGCACACTGGATGCTGACGTGTTCTTCTCCTGTGTCCCACTGTTTGCCTAGATAACCAGTTCAGAATGTCTATCCTGGAGCGCTTGGAGCAGATGGAAAGGAGGATGGCGGAGATGGCCAGCCACCAGCAGTCGAGCAGTGCAGGGAGTGGCGGAGCTGGGGGAGGAGCAGGGGGAGGGGGAGGAGGAGGAGGAGGGGGAGGAGGAGGTGGAAGCAACAACAACAACAGCCAGTCACAGGTAAAAAGCCACATGACGTTACTCATATGTTGTGAAAGAATACGTACGTGTGACATCACTCAGGAAGCATATTGAGTTTGTTGTCGTAACAAAAGTACTGCAAAACAACATGTGCATAATGATGTGATTGAGGCATATACAACAATGATTTGCTCTCTTGTTTATGTTAGTGTTTATCCGCTCAGACGCAGGCCAGCAGCTCCTTTGAGAGTCGTGTGGTGGTGGTCTGTGAGAAGATGATGAGCAGAGCTTGCTGGGCCAAGTCCAAACATTTGATCCACTCCAAGACCTTCAGAGGCATGACGCTCCTTCACCTGGCTGCAGGCCAAGGCTACGCCACCCTCATCCAGACACTCATCAAGTGGCGGTGAGAACAAAATACTCCGCCTAATGGCACTTTGGTTTGTAAATGGTGTGCACCACACTAAATAGCAGCACGATACTAATTGTTTTCTCTCTTCCTTCCAGCACTAAACATGCTGATAGTATTGATTTGGAGTTAGAAGTGGACCCTCTCAATGTAGATCACTTCTCCTGCACACCCCTGGTAAGAGAGCTGAAGTTAATACTTTTAGAGCGGAAAATCCTAGTTTATGTGAACCTGCAGTTGGTGTAGATTTTTTACAATCTGGTGTAATGAAACCCTTTCACCCTGTTTTCCTTTGCCACTTTCTCTTATGTGTCTGTTTTCCCTCCAGATGTGGGCCTGTGCCCTGGGTCACCTGGAGGCAGCAGTGGTCCTGTATAAATGGGACAGACGTGCCCTAGCTATCCCAGATTCTCTGGGTCGCTTACCCCTCTCAATCGCCCGGTCTCGTGGCCATACCAAATTGGCTGAATGTTTGGAGCAGCTACAAAGGGAAGAGCAGCAGTCACCAGCCCCTCTACCACCCACACCTCGCATGTCTTTCTCTCCCGCCCCCGAAACCCCCACCACAGACAGCTGGATGGTCAGCTGGGCAAACAACAGTGGAGTGGCACCCAGCGGCAAGAAAGGGTGTCCTGCCACAACAACAACAACAACAACATCCAGCGCCACAAGCCTCAATCCAGGCCAGTACAGTGCTCTCTGTCTCTTACTGTACACTAGTTAAGCCGATTACCTTATATAAGTCACTGACTGGGAAATCCCTTACTTTGTTAGTGTGTTATGTAACTAATTTCTACGTCTATTGTGTTTATTGCAGACTTGAGAAGGCCAAGGTCAGAGCCCTCCAACTACTACAGCAGCGAGTGCCAAAGAGACCTCCCGCAAGCTAAAAAGCATAAACCCAACCCAGAACTGTTTCAGAATCGGCCTGACAAGGCCATGTCTGTTCCTCTAAGCCTGGAGCAGCAACAGCTCCACAAGCTGTCCTCTAGCCCGAAGAGCCTGTCCTCAGAGGGCCTTAGCTCAGAAAAGGGCCTGTCCACAGGAGGCAGCACAGGGACAACCAGATGGACCTCCAGAGAGAGTTTCTCCAGCAGCGGCATGGGGAGGAAGGCGTCGGGGGTCAGTGGAGGCAGCAGCCTGGGGAAGGAGAAGCTGGTCAACCGGTTGCGTCAGCGGGAACAGCTAGGCATGCTGGTGATGGCTGACAGAGAAATGGCTGATGCAGAACTGTTATCCTATCGGGAAGATCTGGAGAACCAGGACTGTCTCACACAGATGGATGACCTGCAGGTGAGAACAAGCATCTGCCCGCCAAATGTGTGGAACTTGTTTCTAGTATAGCTGCAGATAAAAGGTTCAGATAATGTGGGCAACATTTATTTTGCAATTCTTTTACTTCTAACTAATTTCACTTTTAAACCATTACAATCTGCAGTATGGTTATTTTAGTGGCAATTCTAGATTTGAATCGGACTCAACCGCACTACGCCTCCTATTTAATGTCCATCTTCTGCAATGGGTAGGCGGCATGCACCAGGCCAACATGGCACTCTGTCGATGACCATCACTGCATAATAAACTCTCTATTGATCCACTTCCATAGCCAAGGGATTCTTAAAGCCATCCATCTCAGTCTAACTACTCCTCCAACAGATGAAGTGCTGGATTAGGAATTTCAGCCTCCAATAGAATCACTCATCTTTATACTACCCCATTTGCATTACATCTAAGATTTTAGACACGTGGCCAAACAATTATACCTGCCTACAGTAGATCATGTACAGTCATTAAATTGACAAAGTGGGTCCTGTCCTCATTCATCTTCGTCTGTCCCAACAAAACAGGCCAATATGATGACTCTGGCAGAGCACATCATTGAAGCAACGCCAGAGAGAATCAAAAGGGAGAACTTCACCGCAGCGGACTCTGTGCCCTTAGACACGTCAGGGGTCACCAACACCATGAACTGGCTGGCTAACTACCTTGGAGATGTAGAACAGTTGCCAAGCATCCTACACCTACGGTAAGGAGCACCGTGGGCCAGGGAATCGCAGATATACATATTGCATTGCGAGTGTGTGGGTGTGTACAGTACGTGTGTCCTCCTCACTGCATTCATCCTTTTTTTCTATGGTTGTTATACCTGTTATTGTCCAAGAAATGGGTGGACAGTCATAAAGAACAAGTCATTTATTTATGCATTACGCTGCCAAGTCAGAGTAAAACTGAATTTTGGTGTACTGTATGTGCTGTTAAACATATTATTTATATTTAGCATTATACCCCAATGAATGATTCAAACCAGTGGGATGGCAATGTGGCTGTTTTATTTGATTGAGGTTACTGTGGCTCAGGATTGCATATATGTCAGTGTTTGGATTATAAACTATTAATAAAAAAAAATTATAATCAGTTGTTAACCTGCTGGTTCTTAATTCTTACCTTGCACTCATCAATACTGTAGTAATACAACAATATGCACAAGTTAGATATACAAGTTGATCATAAGGTTCTGGTTTAGTTTAAGCTTGCTAATCACTCCCTGCTTCATTCCTACACTTAACAGGAAGTAAAAGGAGTCTAAAATATAATAACATGTATCCTTTTCTGTCCGTAGATCTCTGTATAATGAACCCCTGACCCCATCGTCCAACCCCAGCCTCAGTCCTGGGGGGTCTCCACTGAGAGAGGGGCCCCTGGAAAGGTCTACTCTCCCCTCCCCTGCTGACTGGAGTGAGTTCATCAACGCCTCCAACAGCAAGGTGGAGCGAGACCTGGCCCAGCTGACTCTGTCTGATCCCGAGCAGAGAGAGCTGTACGAGGCCGCCCGCCTAGTCCAAACTGCCTTCCGCAAGTACAAGGTACAGGCCCGGCGCTCAGCTGCCATATGCTGTGTGTACTGCAGCCCGCAGTGACAGGGCTGCACTGTTAGGAGTGGTATTATTAGATGATTTCGTGTTTGTTTATTTGAGAGATGTACAAGGGTTTTGTTTGGTCCCAAGCCGTAAAGCTCTGATTTCTGCAGTAAAGTCCAGGGTTGTGAGACGGTTCATTCGTCTGGGGATGTACTGTTTGCTCAATTTTATTCACATTTTCCTTCCTCTACCTCTGTCTCATTCTCTGTTCCTCTGCTCACATACACATTACAACATGAACCGAAATGTATCCGAATATGTCCCTGTGGTTTCAGCATGGGAAGGTGCCTTGAGCAGAGCATGGCCTTGCTTAGAGGAACGACTGCACTGTCCCCCTTTATCCCCGCTCCAATTAGACATAATTAAGCTTATGTTCTTCTCCTCTCGCTTTGTCTCTCTCTCTCTCTCTCTTAGTTAGGTGTATGGAGCCTGCTACTGCCTGTTTCAAACTAGCTCTCCACACACCAGTCCTCTCCCCCTGCCCGATCCCATTCCTCAACTCGCTCCCTGCCCCCCGGCTACTTTTAATGAGTTTTCATATGACAAACTTTTCGCTGTCATTTGCAGTCATCTGTTATGCCTGTCTAGCAGCTGATTCTGAGGTGGACCTTTGCCTCTGGGTCGCCTGACAGTTCACCTCCTCCCCCCCACTGCTCATGTGGGGGGGCAGTTCACCGGGGGTGGACTCGTGCCATGGTGGCATTCACTTGCCTCTACCGGGAGACCCAAAGGGAGACTTAACAGAGCCACCAATATCCTTTGTGGCAAATGCAGGTGCAATTGTGACCTCTGACCTGTCCTACTTTACTCTCCTACAGGGGCGGCCGCTCCGAGAGCAACAGGAAGTAGCTTCTGCTGTCATTCAACGTTGTTACAAGAAATACAAACAGGTAGGCACCTCCAAAGCATTGAGGTGTTCCTGATATGGTAATACGTGGTTTTGTTTACAGGTTTGAATGTAATTAGTCTATATGATAGTCTTTTGGGAGGAAGATAACAACATGAGTTAACTATCTGAAGCCTCCTAAATACATTTAATTCAACTTTTTATCATTTTTAAACTCAACAGACTTTTTGAGTATAGAGTATGTTAGTGCATCACTCACAATATTTCCTTTTTTCTGTTTGCAAGCTAACATGGATAGCCTTGAAGGTAACTTTTTTTCACTATAAGCAGCTGAATTAATTGCCAAACATTAGGTTGTGTTATTTTACTCCAGTTTGAACTTCGTAGCACTATGGCACACAGCAAAGCTTGACACGCTGTTCTTTCTCGTTGGCAGTATGCACTTTATAAGAAGATGACGCAGGCCGCCATCCTTATCCAGAGTAAATTCCGCAGCTACCACGAGCAGAAGAAGTTCCAGCAGAGCAGGAAGGCTGCTGTGCTCATTCAGCAATACTACCGCAGCTATAAGGAGTTTGGCAGGCTGAAGCCCCACCACCGCGGGGCGGCTGCTGCCCTGGTGCAGCACAAACTGAGGTAGACACTTCCTATAAGCCAGAGACTGAAATACTAAAGAAACTACTCTGGCATATAGTATTACAAAATGATGTGAAAGTGCCAAATCATTTGAGTTTTCGGAAGCAATTTTATTAAAGGTCCCCTATTATACTGATTTTCAACAATATATTATAGGTCTCAGATATATACAAAACATGTCTCTGAAGAACAGATCATTGTAGCATCCCATAATCCCCTCTGTTTCAAAAGCGCTGATTCTCTGTCTGTTACTTTAGATGAAAATAAGGAGCCCCTCCCCACGCCCCTCTGAGAGATATTTGGTAAAAAATAACACAATGGTGCTCTAGGAGGACATTCAGGTGATAAGGTGGGGGGGGGGTTACCTTGGTTGGTGATTGGCTAATGGTTACACAAGCCAAAAAATCGTTATGACATCACAAAGTGGCCAAAATCTGATCAGCTCATTTTCAGACAGGTTTTTATATAAATGGATCAGGACAAAAAGAGAAGGGGTCTTTGTTCATGAAACTTTCAGAATCTCTTTACACAGAGGGGACACATGTTGATGTAGAAAAGACGTGAAAAAGTGGATTTTGCATAATATTATTATTATATTATTGACAAGCACATTCACCAAGGTTCACACAATCTTTTCACATTTTCACTGAAAGATGAAAGTTGCCTCTATTTCATAATAACAAAGTGATACTATTTTCCTTCTGGTGTTTCACAGAGGTAGTCTGCTCACAAAGAGGCAGGATCAGGCTGCCAGGAAGATCATGAGGTTCCTACGTCGCTGCCGCCACAGGTAGATCCTGAAACTGACTCTCACACATGCTAACCTACTAATATTTACATATTTTACACACAAAACTTTCCATAGGCTAGATAAATCTGCACATTCATATTTACTGCACGGTTTGGTTTATGGTCTAAAAGAATACAATCACATTGAGCTAATCAGTAAGACACAGTAGAAACTACCACTAGTTCCATAATCGTGTCCATCTCTTTACTCTTCTCTTTACACTGTGTTGTGTGTGTTTGATTTAGTTTGTGTCGGACAAATTAGGTGGTTAGAAAATGTCTTGAACACCTAAGCTCCACCCTTCCCCTCACTGTATTTGGCCCCCACCTGTCCTCGCCCCCTCCCTCACAGTGCCTACTGTGTGCTAATAGCTGTCTGGTATTGTTTTGCTGTTTATGCCAAGCCCCTTGATGGACCATAGACTGTTCAAGCGGGTGAGTGCAGCCTCAGCAACTCAGTTCGTTCCTCTTCCTCTCTCTTTCTCTCTCTGTTATTCTGTACGCCTCTCCCTTTCTGTCTCTCACTCTTTAATAACACAATTATCTCCTCCTGAGGTCTCGGCCTTTGCATTCTCTCCTTCCTTCCCTCAGTCTCATTTTCTCTTTTGCTCTTTTTCTCCCATCCCTCCACCCACCTTTCCTCCTGCTCCATCACTGTTGCTTGATGCCTGCTTGCATGAAGGCTGCCGACTGGAGCCACAGGTGGACTGAGAAGCTCAGATTTCAGATCTCGAAAAACTAACAAAATGCTTATGAATGACAATATCACTGCAACACTTAACAGGCACTTCTCTGACTCTCTTTATCTCTGTCTTTCTCTCCTTGGGAATTACTTTTTGTTCTTATTGTTTTGTGTTTTTATTTCAGCTTTGTGTGGTTATGCAGATAGCCAGTTTGAGAAAATGGGAAGCTTTTTTTCAGTCATGTTTTATTCTGCTGCATGACGAGTGGTGACAACTATGAGCCTTGCTCTTCTACCTTTAGGCATGCTATGGGCCTGCTGTTTCTCAACTGGTTGTCTGTCTGTCTGACTGGCTGTGTGTCCTGTTTCTAGCCACTCGACAGACTGAGAGGGGGGTGTCCCCTCCGATTTCCTTTTGCTAAAACTTGGTCGAACTGTTGAATGTGTAATGTCCACTGGTTTATCAAAACAGAACTGATACATTCATATCAAATAAAAGGTACACCTGAATGGGAGAAAACAAATGATATGTGTACGTTTGAACAGTTCAATCTCTCACAAACCTTTATGCCTTGCTACATGCATATTTAATGTCTTTATCCTTTACCATAAATACTGTACACGGTCCTAAAATAGGGCATCATGCTTTTAGAGCAGGGGAGATTGTTATTGTAACCACCTCTACACTTCCAAAGGGTGTCTGCTGTTCTGTGATATAGGTTAGGAAGCTGTGATAGCATATAGGTCACAGAACAAAAACAAACAATAGGTTCCTCCACCCTTTGGGACTACAACACAGGGATGTAATGGATTCATACCTCCAGGGAGTTCTCCAGCTCAGTTTGAGAGGATGTGGCTCACACACACACACACACACACACACACACTCACTCACACATACACATACACACACCGTAGTCTGCCTCTCTTCAATACATAAATGTTGCAGAAGTTATCTTCCGCTAAGAATAAGTGTCAGGCTAAATCCATTACATGACAGCGGTTGATGTGTTAAAGTCAATTGCTAGGGTAAAGAGTTCTCTGTGAACTTCAGGCTGACCTCTTTTTGCACACACACTGGAGACACAAGTCTATGAACCCACACACACTGCTGGTGCTATTCTGTTGTGAACTGCCAGACAATGCATTCATAAAGAGTTGAAATGTGATTTGCTTTTCCCTCCTAAAAACAGAGCAATTCTTCTCAGCCTCTCCCTGTTTGTTTGAAAATGATCTTAGTTATCTTAGTCTTTTTGGATGTGACATTGACATAGATGTTAAATAATCTGTGCTCTTCAATACTGACGAAATAGATTTAAACTGAAAGACAGGTTCACATTATATTATATTCTTTATATAATTGAACAGTACCTCATGCTGAAGTTTGAGAATAAAAGTGTTTCAGGTCGCTGAAAAGTGTCACTTTCAAACCTGTAACAATAACTAGAAGAATAACTGTAATTAAAATAATGATGATATCATTACCATATTGTGTAAGAAAGGACCCTTCGAAATTAAATGCATTTCATGACAAGAATGATTGTATTTCTTCCGTTACATAAGCATTTTATCCTGAATGTAATTCTTTAGATTAACATGGTAATGATTGTGTAATTGTGCTGCAATTATCCTCTTTTGTTCGTTCCTAAGTGCAAGTTCAATCCAACCCTGACCAACGTTTTCTTTCACAGAGCAGCCGCAGTTCCTGAGGATCTGGGCTGACTTGATTTTGTTCTGATTGTTCTGGCTGAACAGTGTGATACTGTTGCTGCTTGTCACTCGAGTCGTGGATGTTGTATTCATGGACGCTTGTCTCTCTCTGTGTTCCAGGGTGAAAGAATTGAAAAGGGCCAGGGAACATGAGACCCCTCAGAAGAGCCCCCTCACCATTTGACATCACTCTCCTGACTTCTTTTCTTTTTTGTTTGTACCCGAGACATTTTACAAGAAAAATGGAGAAAAAAACATCAATGCAAGCGCTGCAATTATTACTTCTACTGCAGTGTTACCGGTTCAACTTCTAATACATGTACAACAGCATTTTTTCACATATCTATTCTTTCCACTGACTTGGTTTTTGACGGAGAGTGGCAACTTCTACGGGATTATAAACTAAAAGGGTCGGGGTGGGGGGTGCAAAACATTTGCTTCATGGCATTTTTTGCACTTTTTCATGGATTGCTTTGTCTTTTTCGAATATATGGAGAGGTTTTGGACGATGAAGGAAGCAGGACATGCGTGCGGAGGTCTGTCAAACGCGAGGACCTCAAGAGACGTAAATTAAGACTGCTGCAGAGGATCTCAGAGGATAGTGAGACCACGCAGAAACACTCTGGGCTCTTATTGTGTTTCATAATTTTTTAAGTGACCAATCAATTCATTTGAAGAAGGATTTTTTTAACCAAATACATTGGTCACCCACACTCCCACTTCTTTCCACTGCTGTAGATGAAATGATATTCAATTTAGCTCAACAACTCCTGCTGTCCCACTGTGCTCTACCCCACCAGTCTGCCCACACGGGTGGAGCTACAAATGAATGTAGTCCGGGGTTTAACCATTACGAAGCAGATGGGTGATAAAATATTTCTCTTTTGCCATTTCTTAAAGAAACCCTATGCTTTATCGTATATATTGTCACTTTATTACTTGAATTTGTTCCATACTGTCCAATGTATTTGTTCCATCATGTCCAATGTATTGGTGATCTGTATCCTCAGACTCTATGTTGTTGAATCCTACCAAGAAAAGATGCATGACTTCTTGGCAAGAAAAGTCTTTGCTTGTGTGATTATGGTCTAGTCTTTCAGCCTAACCTCTGATGTTCTCTTTTGTTTCCATCTTCTCCCTCATGATTTCGATCATATCAGTATTGAAGCTATCCCTGTATTGTCCTGTTTCTTTTTATTTGTTGATTGATCCTCTGAAACCTAACAAGAGAAAAGAACTTGCCTATTTTGTGTTGTAATGGTTATGGTCATGCAGGTTATTAATGTTCTTTTTAAATGAACTTCAGAGCCTGCGAAGGCTGTTGAGGGGAAGATCACATACATTGCCTTGACGTCTTAGAGATTCTTTGAGGGGTCCCTAAGCTTGTCCCAAAATAGGGGTTTGACAAATCCATATTTTTGACAATTGAGCGATTTCTGTATATAAAGAAGGCTGAAAGTACGTAGGAAAAAACATTTACCCGAAGGGGATTGTATTTTAGAAATATATTATTTTATTCATTAAAAATGGGTCAAAAACAGGTACGAGACAAAAACAGAATATTTGTATAGTTTTGTTTGAATGCCTAAGAAGTATGGTTGTATTGTTTGTAAATAGTGTAAATACCTGGGATAAAAATGAGCTATGTGCATGAAAAGTATGAACAGAGTCAAAAGGGAAAAAACAACAAAAGCAGTAGTGGCTATGCTCTGTCAAATTAAACTATTTCACTATTAGAGTATTTTATTTTATTTTGATTGTTCTTGAGAAGAACATTTTGCTAAAGCATGATATTATTGCAATATAAAAAAACTACAAAAAAATGTATTTAGCGTTAGGAGAAGTCTGCAAAATGATCTTAAAACAAGTATGGTTATGTTTACATTTCTTTTGTTTTGTTTTGGGCTACCAAGAATCTTTTGCCAATGGTGCCGAGGTATGTGAATGCTATATAGCTTAAGAAGAGAATTAAGTTAATTTTTGCAGAACAGATAATCATACAGTGAAATACACACTAGCACTGAAGACCACGAGATCACAAGTGGTCGAGGATCACTCGAACAATAAGGTACACAGTTTGCAGAGGGAGTCATATTCAAGCAGAACGCATTGAAGTCTCTCATGTCTCCACTTTTCACACTGATAACTGAAGCATTTGACCATCACTGAGTGCACCATAGCAGAGTTTAAGTTACATTTGTGTTGTCATTAAAAATGGAATGTGTTACTGAGGTATCTTGCCTGATCTGAAAGAATGGCAGCCTTGCCCATGGTGTTTCTACAAATCAAAATCATGTTATCCCTATTTCTTGAATTCAACTCTTCAAATGTACACTATGCTGCAGCAAGCATTGATGTACTACTTATTGGCTGACCCCTGTAATAAACTGATGACCGGATATGACTACTACAATATGTCTTAATACAAAAACACCTTGATACAGGCTGCCATGCTCTTAACAGATCTTAGTATTCTATGTCACAAAGATGTCTACCTGAGGAACATGTTTAGCATTCTATACATGACTGGGTTTCTTTGTCAAGCAGCTGAAAATACAAAACGAACTGTTCCGACAGTAAAAGGTGCTAAACCGATTCTATCTGAAAAGACAGCGCTAAAAGTTGTCACTGCCTCGACGCGGGGTCAATGAGCCAAAATGACTGTAGTAACCAATGTGTAAAACAGTGCCATTTATAGTTATGAGGCATACGATGTGTCTTGTACATTGGATTAGGTATATATTTGATTGGGCTGTAGGAACAATCTGAGAGAAACATGAGCTGCTGGTTTAGAGGTGCCTGTTGGTTGCTGCCTATTATATATTCCTACCAGAACTACCAGAAAGTGTATTCTGTATCAAAGTAATGACATTTGATTATTCAGCCAAGTGCCACTGAAAAACTTGAGTTTTTTCATTGAAGTATTGTTATGTTTGTTTAATAATTATTAGGGATTTGTTTCATTGACTGACTGGTTGTTTTTATTGTTTTTCACACACTGGTATGTCAACTTTATTTCCCGAGTGTTAATGTAGAAAGTGCCTATTCATATCCTGATCACACAAACCCAGTGTCAGAATGCATACAATGTACCTGAAGTTGAGAGAATGTGAGAACATGGTCACCCACAGAAAGTGCTGTATCCTCTACATGAACACACACACCATCACCATCACCTTACACTCACCAAAGCGACAATATGATACTCCCACAGCACTCCAGCTTGTCAACATGCTACGCTTTATTTTCATTTGTATGCCTTGTTTTCTGTTTTCTAACGGGACAGCTTGTTAAATCATACTTAGAAGTGCCACTACTGGGGTTTGTTGCCTTGCATTCATCCTCCTGGTCCGTGGTAAGAATGCATAGCCAATGCAATGTCGTGGCAAAAAAGAGAAGGGATTTATTATGCTTGCATGGGTAAAATAGTTAACTGGGTGACCGAACTGCACCTAAAGCATGCTTATTTTCCTAGAATCTGTAGTCAGATAGACTTGTTAAAAGACTTACTGTTCTGTAAAACGATGAACGTTGGTTTGACGTGTCACAGAACTCAGAAAGACAGAGGGCATGTGACTGGAGGGCTGAAGGGAAACTCACAAATGAGCCAGTGATCAACACTCAGTAGCTACTGAGGTTTTCATAGCAAAGCATGAGGACAGGATTGTTTTTACACCAAGCTCTAACTTTTTAGACTATTTTCTTTACTTTTTTGATTCTTTTAGATTTGATCAGTGTTCTCCCAACTTCAAATAGGACAAATGGACATGATTGGAGACCATTTGGACAGTATGTATAGCTAGTTTTAACTAAGTGACACACGGTACACACGGACACATGCACAAGACACAGCACACATGCAGACATGTCAAGGTGTCAGTTTCATTTGTTCGCTGAGCAGCATCGCTCTTCTCCAGCCTGAGGGACTGGTTCACCTCCCTTCTGTATTTTACTCAGGGTGCAAAATGGGGAGGAGGAAGCAGAGCAGGACACGTGATTCACAGCAGAGGCAGCTGAAATTGAAAAATGTAAAACGTTGTGCTTTATTGTAAAGGCAGACACTTAAGTCTTTAAAATGAATGAATATCAAATATAATCCATATCCTCTCAGTAACTATGAACATTGCAGACACTGGAGTAGCCCTTGAATAAAGTCCCGATATATATATATATATAGCTCACTAAGATAAATGATTTGGCTTTCTTCTCGAGAGGTCTGTCAAATCATTGAAACATTTCGGCCAGTTCTTTAGGCCTTTAATTTATCTAGGTGACAAAGTGTAGAGGGTATTTAAGATTAAGAGTGTATATATATGAAAAGTTCACCTGCTAATCTTGTTTTTACTGCCATTTATGAATGGGATGACAAGTTAGCTGATAGGCACTCTTCATATTTAATATTAGCAATTTTCAAGACGTTCTGTGAATTGACCTGGGAATCTGCCTTTCCTCCTCTTCCTTTTCCCGAGCGCCCCAAACCAGAGAAAGGTAGGCACATCAGGACAACAGAACAGAAACGGTTTTACAACATATTCCACTTGTGGACACAGAGCAATAAAGAACTATTTTGTGGAGACCTATAGACCTAGTGAAGTTTAAAAATGATTGGACACATGTAGTCGACTTTCTCTTATGCAAATGCCAGTATTGCAAGACAAGCATTCAGTAGTTTATGGACGGCAATTATATGGCACCCTTTACCGATCTGCACGTTTTCATCAATTCCAAACCGAGAAGAAGAAAAAAAGGCCCTGCTTTGATAGAAAGTTACGGGTCCTCGACACTTTGCATGTGAACTAGTGTTAGATCTATTTTCCTCTCCTCTATAGCTGTCTTTCTCTCTGTCTTTCCCTGTTATGTGACCCAATTTTTCTCTGCTCCCGACCCCTACCCTTCAAGGTTTCATCTCCTCTTGGTTCTCCTAATGTGTTTTGTTTTCCTCCTTTTTCTTCCTTCTTCTCTTGTTTGTAAGTTTTATTTTTGTAATTGTGCATGTACAAGCGTCACTGACTCGATGGATATGTTATAAAAAAAAAGAAGAGATTTCAGCTGCTGAAGCCATGCAAAACGTTTTGAATTGCCCTTAAAATATGGACGATGTTTTCTGAATGCTTTATATTCTTTCTGCTGTAAAATAATAAAAAAATGAAAAAATTAAGAAAACTCCTGAACCAAGTTTGCTCCGTCTTTTTGTTTCTTCTTTTACTTTAAGAAAGCAATACTTTTTTCTTCTACCAATGACTTTTCTTCAACACCTTGTATCAAGAAAAGACGATTAGACAGTATTTATAATATAGTTTTTATTTATATTCAACATCCAGTGCTGTACAACCCAAAGCTTTCACATTTAAAATACATTTGGTCATATATCAGACAACTAGGGTATTTTAACAAATGCCTGTACACAAATATAGTTTTACACAATATGAACATAGTCTCCATGAAACATCTTAAAGACCCCACTCAACATCAATCATACCTATAGCATTGTTCTTGTTCTCACATATTGACAGCGCTTATGTGTATTTACATTACCTGGGCATGCATATGTGCTCATACAGTTCAAATGCATGCATGATGTTTTTTTTATGTTGATGGATTTAATAAAGTGAGTGCTAGATTGTGATGTTTTGTTAGAGTGCAAGCCCTGTCTCTTGTGTTTAGCTTGAATGCCTGTTGACGGTTTTAGACGCAGTACTTCCAGAAACACTCAGCGGTCCCTCCTCTCTTCCTGAACTGCTTCCGGATGCCCAGCACACGGCTGAAAGGATTTAGGAGACTTTGTTTCTCCAGTAGGACCTAAGAGACGGGATAAAGTCGTTTTAGTGAAAACATTTTATTTTCTTTGCTGTTTCAGGGATAAGACTGTTTTTTTAGAAAGCTCACCTCTCTTTTAATCCCTCTGGGAAGCAGACCTGTTCTGACACCTCAGAGAAGAAAAAAAACATGAGGTTATTCTGATGTTTGAGATCAATAGTTGTTGCTTTAGACATGTGTCTGTGCATGTCAGGTTTGTCAGGTAGTGGCAGAGTAGAGGACCTCCAACCGCCTGGCTAGGTATCCAACCATAGAACAATATGGTAAAGCTGACATGAATTCAAAGTTGTAGCACAATGATTTTGCAAAAAGAAAGTGGGTGATTTTCCCTGGATAAAACAATTATCTGCATGTTAATATATGAAACAGTGTGTGTCTTTGTGTTTCTTACCATCTCTGTTAAACTCCCCAGATATCAGAGTGGAATATCTGAGACCATCCTGAGAAGGGAAGTTCTGCTCAGAGAGAGACAGATCATCCAGAGCGCCGACTCCTCCGTCCTCCACTGACACTGAGGAGAACCGAACAACCACGTAAAGTTGGAAGACATGTTTTTAGTGTCGTTTTTGAAATATTTAACACTGATTTTCACATTGGTGTTGATATATTCGACAGCAATTCATGATCATTTTACAGATAACTTTTTAAGTATTAAAAAGAAAACATAATATGTATTCTAATGGCAGAAAAAGTCTCCTATCAGTGTGAACTCTGGCAGAACCATCCCCGCTCAACACTGCAACTCCAAAGTAATAACTTCAAGTCCTGACGACATGACCAACCTGACATTATTCTCTCATAGGTTGTATTACTAAAAATGATAATCAACGTACTTAATTGATGCAATTTTGTGAATACATGCTAAATAGAGATATTCATTTCCACTCACCAGGTCCCGGATAGGACATCTCTGCAGATTCTGAGATGGGGTGGGCCAGCAGTGGGCCAGAGGCCAGGAGCAGGAAGGCACAGGACAGGAGATGGTTACACTTCATCTCTACAGGACGTTGATGTTGGAAGTCGCTCGGTTGCCTCAGGTGAAAACAAAGACTTGTACTTGCTCTGTTGGTCCAACCGGGTTATATACTACCAGCATTAGCCTGTCCCCCCTCCTGCATCCGGACACACACTCTCGCCACAACAGCCATCAGCAATATCCACAGTCCCATCCTTTCTGACTGCGATAAATCAACAGGGAGTCACAGGTGAATTATGGGCTCAATAAAAAGACAAGTGCCATGGCCCAGGCTTCAAGGGCACAGTCATGTTTTACCAGCCCTACAGCTTGATTGACTGTTTTACTGACTTTGTAAATAGGATTGAAGCAGGTGTTTCAGATGTCATTCACAACAACATCCTGTAGGGAGCAGGTGGAGAAACTGGGCAACTCAATTAATAATGCTTTTATGCTACCAGCTCATTAAACTGTTGGGCCATTTGAATGCTTCTGACCCAGAAAAAACAAACAATTGGAGCGAGACTGAGAGTGAGACTTCCCAATAAAATAACATAATTGCTTGCACAGTGGATCAGTGTAAATGCTAAAACAGTTGAAGCTTTGTAACCTATAAGACATCCGACATTTTCAGTTTAAGAGCACCGAGAATTTTCCATGGGTCACTGAACAGATTGATTTATGCACATTATTTAAAGGCCTCGCTCTGGTATGATTGGAAATGTGTTCTTTCACTTGTTCTTAGTCATGCTCATGCAATAAAACTCAAATGTATTAAGTCCAGCATAGATGGAGAAAAAAACATTTCCTGTCAATGGAGACTGGGGGACAGGCTGCACCTCTGTATGTAAATTGTTTATTTATTAGAACTGTGACGTCAATGTTCAGTCACTTGTATGATAATGAGGGTCGACGAAGCGACAGTGACATTTAATTTTATAGCCAGAAGGCCAGCTACTCCATTAGGTTTTGCTACGCTTTGTATCATAAAAAGTTATTACGATTTATATTCTGTATTAGTCAAGGCCCTGCTGCCAATCCGGGCGTATTCCAGACTCTAAAATAAATGTTGTCTCATCCCATACTTGAGGTTAATCCTACTATATATGGGGTCCTCTTTACGCTTTTATGAGAAATCTTAGTTCAAGGTACAGGCGTTTCGTAAAAAACAAGGACACATACTGCTCCTCTTGAGATCCATGAAATATAATGTGGCTCAGGGAACAGAGCATATACAGAAAACATATCCTCATAGGCACAATAGACATGGTTAAGATGTTACAGTATATTTTTATTTTTATTTTATCAACCCTTGATTTGACATTCACACTAAATGGCTGGAGATTTTTTTCTGAGAATACCAACGTTTTTCTTGATCTTTAGTCTTAATCTGCTAAAGGCCCATCATTGCAAAGCCACATAATTGCAAAGCCACATGTCTCACAAAACAACTGTAGTATTCCAAGTTATGTGCCCTAACAGGTTTGTGTGACGTGTTGTTGACATTATTCGACCTCTGGATTACTGACTGACGTATGAACAACCAGCAGAGGGCAATATTACGTCTAGAAAATCCCATTAAATTTACCACGTTTACACATTTTCAGCAAATTAGTCTCCAGTGTAAACTATTCAGTGTGGTTTCTGAAGTGGAAAATATCTTTCTAGACACTTGTGTAATGTTTTCCTTCTTCCTTTTAGCAGTCTTCAAACAATCTCAGATTGACAGAGTGCAAATTGAATCACAAAACCTGTAGCCTTCAAAACCTTAAATAGCCCGTAAATCCTCATCATCATTGATATTTACAAGACCATTTTTAAAACCATGTCATCCTCCCAAGAAAATAGACTTTTGATATAATTTTTCTGACATCAGAGCAAAAAGGTTTCCTGCCTATCTGAATAAATCAGGGCTACCCAGGTGCACACTGGAGGAAAAGTTGATATTGTCTGACTGTTATTTATCTCAAATGAAGTCTTCTTCAGGCTTTTCTTGACACACAACTCAACTGAAATGTGTTGCTACAAACTTATAAAATGTTTTAAAACTATAAAGTTGCCAACATGGTCACTCAAAGGTACCAAGCAGTTTTTATTCCAAAATAATTTCTCCTTTTCTTTACATATTTACTGGTAGTTAATTACTGCACAACTGCATACTTCAGCATACTTGAAAATGTATGCTACATTCTTTGAGTGATTGGAACATTCGGTTTAAGTGTTGCCTTCAATAACTGTTGTAATATTGCAATTCACTAAGCACGCACGTACGTGGGTGCGTCTGGTGGACCTGTAGGCAATGCTATTCAAATTGTAATATAATATGGGATGGGTGTCACTTCCTGGAGATGAATCCTATCGTCTCTACCTGCGATAATATGCTACCGTGCGATTCTATATGTGTAAACCTTAGGTCTGACATATGTTATGCCGATTACCAGATTTACACATATTTGTAAACCAACAAGTCTTTGTTCCAAACGTCCTTATATAACGAAAAAAACGATCATAAAATAGGCTAATTGTATACTTTTATTGTCGGACATCGTGACTCGTATGAGATAATCCTGAGTTTGACGGAGCACTTGAAGGCAGCAGCTGTTAGCCGCCCCCTCTGAACAGGAGCTGTGAAGAAGCAGCGACAGACAGTGGGCTAAGTTTGTCCTGCCCGGCTTCCCTTCACCAGTACAAGGGGCTTTGTGTCATTGAAGAACAGCGAGCGTCGCTTTTAGTTTCACACTAAAACTAAAGGCGTCAGAAACACGTCCGTGACATTTTGGGATAATTTGTGTGGGCACAGAGAGGAGAGAGGGAGAGGGGAAAGTGCGACGGAGCGGACAAAGTTGACACTCCGCTGTCATGTTTGGTACTTGTTGCACACACACTCACACTGAACACTGGAGCCTGTAGTGTGGGCTGCGTGCTGGGAACAGGTAGGTTATAAATAATGACTCTTCGATACATAAACTCATTTAATGTTTGTTTGGTTATTATTCATTTATTTATCTCGACAAGACAACAATGTTCCCACTGCAATGCAGATACTTGTCATGCTCTAGTTACTGTAAACAACCAGCAAGAACTATCATTTGTTCAGTTTGTTAGTGTTTGGCAGTGGCTTAAAGTATTTTAATACATTTACTCAAGTACAGTACTTAAGTACAATTTTGAGATACTAGCACTTTACTTGAGTATTATAATTAAAAGTATTACATTCAGATGTTATTATTTTACTTAGGAAATATAATCAACATTTATAAGACTACAGTTACACCTGGAGTAAATACACAAGCTACCCCGTAATGTTGAAAATGGGCCAATATGCATAATGAGTACTTTTACTTTTGGTACTTTAAGTATATTTTGATGCTTCTACTTTTGTACTTGTTGAGTCACATTTGCAATGCAGGACTTTTACTTGTAACAGAGTATTCCGAGACTCTGGTACTTGAGTATATGAGTACTTCTTCCGCCTTTGGTGATAGGTAGACTTTATTGCATTAACACTTTTGAGATAAAGCAGTAATCTGTTACATTTTAATTGTGTGACCAAACGTTTCTCTGTGTAGCTTGGATGTTTCTTTTCTATTTGCCATTAGGTCCCATTCTATTTAGCCTTATAACATCTCCTTTCTGTTGTCAGGGTCTTCGGTATCACCATGAGGCTGTGACACAACAGGGACAATGATGGCAGAGCTGGAAATTGACCAGTCTAACCTTCCTCGTGTCCAAGAAGGTAAGCACTTTCTCCCAGACTGACCCATCTCTCGCAACTTTAGAGACTTTACATATGGAAAAAGTGTGTGTGCAGAATGTACCATGGTTAATGGTCTCTCCTGGAGAAAAGTTGTATTTGTTCAGCCCCTCATGGAGGTCATGGGTCAGGGTCAGCTACTAAACTGCAGACACTAAGCCACTAGGGGTTTAAGTATTTGATTCATGGACACTTGAACACTAAGGACCGACTTGTTCAACAGTCTGCAGCCGGCTTTAGAGAGAATTTTGTTGCTTTGTGAGTAACTGGCCTTGGCACCAAATGGCAGCTTTGCTTCTGTCCTTTTTTGTCTGTACTTGATTTCTGTGGCTTCAATCTATCTCAGATAGGAAGTCGCTTGCCATATGTTTTGTCTATATGCAGCAGATACGGGTTTAGAAATATGTCTGTACAGAGATGGATCTCATCGCAGAGTGTTCTGGCTTCAGATAAGAGAAAGGAGGAATGAGGTTGCTCTTTTGGATATTATATTTCTTAGGGGAAAAGTGCTATCACTATCACTAACTTAAGTGTAGTCTAACTTTATAGAAAGCTTCAGAGCTGATGGGAATACTTTATCATGTACATTAAATCATAATTGCTCTTAATAGGATTGGTCTGGACTTTCAAGTAAATCTGGCTGTGCTTTAGTTAAAGCCACAACACTATTGGATGAACATTGTGGCGCATACGAGTCATAAAGTAGTGATAAACATAGGAGAATATGCCATAATGACAACAAAAATATTCACAACAACAACATAATCTGTCATTGCCATACTAATGCTTACAGCTCTAACGAACCAAATGAGTTATATCTGTTTGCATGTAAGTATGAAAACAGTGGCAGGTGGAATGTCTAAGCGCTGGCCTGGGTGTAGACCGTTGACTCAGTCTTTGGCGTGTCCACACTAATGAATGGAATAGAAATAGGTCTGCATGTCTTTTATCAAGGGAGATAATTCAGCACTGCACTCTTGTTTCCATACACAAAGGGCACACTGTGCAGCTTTGCATTTTGATGCTTTATTGAGCAGGGGCCAGTGCACACACAAAGGTGGTAATGGCAGCAATAAAGTGCCCGTTGAGACAATAGCAGCATGTAAATCAGCTGTCTGCTCTGTGTATTTATTTTCCGCTTTCACCAGACAGATATGATAAACTGTGCTGCTGCCCCTCTCTGTGGCACCGGGGGTTGTTTACTTAACATGGTGGGTGTTTATGCTTCAATTTCCCTAAGAGCCGTAGTTCCCCTTAGCCCACTTCTCCTTCACTTTCCTCCTCTTCCGAGAGTCTCAGCCAAGTCAACTCTCTTTGTTTTCACTGCCCCCCTTATCAGTTCCTGTTTTGTCCCTCCTCTGGCTGATCCTGATATAGCCTGATGTGCAGAGGGAATGTAGCTCCCAGAGGAATTCCCCCACCTCCCCCCTTTCCTAATTTCACTCTCAGCAACTGACCCAGAGTCCCATAACCCCGCACTTCCTTTTGTTCTCCATGAAAACTGTGTCAAGTTCATGAGATTTCTTACCTAGTTTTGTAACACAGCATAGAGAGCTGTGGGATGGACGGATACTTTATGGTGACATTTTGTGCAGAAACCAGGAAACAGAATATGCCAGTGAGGAGGAGAGAGGGGGAGCATGTGGGTGGTTGGTGAAGGATTTTGGCTGAAAATAGAACTCTTGTCATTTTCTCCTTTCGCCGGTTCCTTTGTTTGGCAGGCATTTGCCACTGCTGCTATCCAAGTGGCTGCGAAGATGAAAGAGAAGTATCTCTGTCAGTGTCTGATCGCCTGCCTCCCTCAAGCTGGATCCCTGAGATAATCTGCATACGTTTATTTAATATGCTTCTCTGAAATTGGTGTGGGTCCTAGAAAGAGACATGCTTAAAGCTATGAGATTCAGTAATATCAGCAAAAAGGTAAAAGTAGCAACATATTTTTCTATTTTACGACCACCATTAATGTAATACTTGTATTGAACAAGAGGCATAGGAATTCATTCAGATTTGTGCTGTTTTGAGGTTACAGAGGTCGTGGTTTCCTGCTTTATAATATCCTCTTCTCCCACAGTCACAGTGTTTGGGAACATACTGAGCGCTGCAGTGAATGGCTGCTAATGTTTTAAAACCGTATCTACTTGTTTTCTTACTTTGCGCTGTTTCCTAGACATTCTTATCCCTCATTGGATCTCAGCCTCTGGTGTTCAGATGCCACAGCCAATTTCTGTTATCTGCTGGATCTTTGATTCACTATCCTCTTAGGAAATTGACACAGGGTCCTTTCAGTGCCCTTATCAAGAAGCTTACACACGTTGAGTCTCTGTATTTTTGAAAACACACTCGGCCGTCGGCTCTCACTGAGCAAGTGTCTCCATGTGCACACCCTGTCCGTCAAAACCTGTTCAGCAGTCTTAAATAACACAGTCTCTTTGGCCCAGCCTAGGAGGGTAATGTGAGTTTTAGGAGTTTGGAAAAACAAGTTTACCCGCAATGCAGACACACACACACACACTCACACACACACACACTTGCAGGCTTACACAGACAAGGCTATACTTTTCCTCCATTTTTTTTCGTTTCGCTTTGGATTTAAGAGTAAACTCGTGTTTTGGAGCATCAATTTGTCCTTTCGGATTAAAACCAAGCCTTGGACTTAATCCCTTTTCTTTCACATAAGCGAAGTTGGAGATCCATTTATCGGATAGTCTCTTAAGCTCCACAACAGGTGTAAGTGGTAATGCGTGTCTGTCTTGGTGTGGGTTAACTGGGAGTGGAGCTGATGTGGTCCTCCATGTTGTAAACAGACCCCTCTCATGGCTTAGTCTGTCTGGGTTATTTCTATGAACTTTGACTGTTGGGCCCCTGTAGACTGAAATATAACCAGACACTTATTCTCAGCAGGAACGCTGTGTTTTTCTTCCATATTTAGGATTTAGTGAAGTTTGACTATATCTTACCACAAGAATGTTTCCTCACTTCCCTATTTACAGAACTGGACAAAGAGGAGATATCCTCAGTTTGACGTGTAATACCAACTCAGAAGCAGTTTTATAAATGTTGAAATTAGACATTGCATTGTTACATCAAGCTCTAGTAGTTCAGGTAAGGTACAGCAATAAAAGACAAGAGGACTCCGTACATTTTAGAACAGTATTCGAGTAAAAACAGGTTGTCTTTTAGAGTACAGAAATAGCAAGGCAGCAAACACAAGCAGTCCTGAAGTCTGGGATTGGTTAAACGCCTGATGTTTCGTATGTTTTGAATTATCCACACAGATGGTCCCAGCTGTGCCATATACTGTGGGCCCCATGTCACTCTGACAATAAATCTTAGAGCATCCCTTCTGTTCATACATTTCTGTTTTAGATTTGTACGTCTCCTTACCATTGGATACAAACAAATGCTAGCCTTAAGCAAACAAAGTGTGCAATGAGGGTCTTTCGTTGAAAAGTGCTCAAAGTTAAAACAAGGTTTACACTCGCAGTATTCCAGATAATGGATAATATTTGCAACTCAAACGTCCTTTTTGGATTCGCTTTTTTTTTAGGCACATTTAGCAACCTTCTGTCAAATCAAATGAGTATGACAGAATTGTATTACAATTTACAAGTTTTCCTTGGGACAGAGTGTCTGAATTTGTATCGTTATGTTATGCTTATTCTATAAATGATCCAGGTTTTCCATGGCTGTGCGAATATATGTAAGAGGTTATTTAAGAACATGTGTACCAACTCATCAGTATCGTAAGCATTAAGTGCATGGCTGTAAACGTGACCATTGCCTCGACAGGAGCTGCTCTTATAGGCTCGGGGGGGGGTGTTTAGTAGCAGGACAGGTGTTTTTAATTGGCCCTGCCTCTGAGACAAGCTGGAGGCTTTTCCCTCTGCACTTAACGAATCTCCTCTTAAACACTGTCTGGGCGTTTGAAAGCGCCATTGTAGAAGTAGACGGCCCTTCTAGGTTCCCTGATGAGAATCTGTAGGAGACGGCAAAGTGAATTTGTTCGGTCACAGTGGGCTGTGTGTCGGCCGAGATGGAGGAAGTGGAGAACACAGCTGGGCCACGCTGCTGCTGACTGTGTGTGTTTATTTTCTCTTCAGTAACTTCTGAGTTTGTTTGACAGACTTGAAACACTCTTGGGCTTCGGCACACAGAGGCTATCGGGGCTTATTAAGGACTCCTGTAAACACTTGGCATGCCTTTTAGATGAGAATAACAGTACACAGATGCTGAAGCTATTAAAAACCAATGTACAGACCAGAGAGTGGTGCATAACTGTGGGTATGCACTACTGTATTACTGGAGACTTGAAATGCAGTCAGGTCTAACCACAGCAGTTAACTGTCTCTCTTGCTGAATATCCCTTTGTTTGACTACAAAGGTTTTGGGTCTTTTTCTATGTAGAATTGCTTTTTAAGTATTTTGTCAGCATTCTGACGAAACCAAACAAAGGCTGGAGAGCATTAACGACATGAAACCGATATGTTTTATTACCATATCCCGCAGCAGGTGGCCAGACTGAGGGATCAGTGGATAGGGAGGGCTCAGTTTGCTCAATATAAAGAACCAGACGGAGTTGGTGTACAGAGAGCTCTTAGCTAAAGCCTTGGGATTTACAACAACCTTACACATGTAACTTTACTTATGTTAAAGTTCCATCCAAACCACCTTCCCAGTATCAAATGGCTGAAGGTAGAAGTTCCGAAACTTTGCATCTTCATTTGACAGTCATAGTGAGCACATTAGTAAACTAAAACATGCATGTTCCTCCTAAAGATATATTCAACCACACCTTATTTTTTTTTAAATAAATGTTGCCTGCGCACACACACACACACACACACACACACACACACACACACACACACACACACACACACACACACACACACACACACACACACACACACACACACACACACACACACACACACACACACACACACACAGCTCGGCCTCTGCTAAACCGGACAGTATAATTGTTGCGTCCTGGTTGTCGCTCTGAAACGCTGGGACCCTGTTATGATGGTGATTTTATGAGAGCCTCTTATATTCAACAGGGAATTGAAGACAGAGTGGTAGATAATTGTTATTTTCTAAAGTTTGGAGAAACACTCCTCCGCCTTTTGTCTGTCAAATAAACAACCATTATGACGCACAACACTCACATCCTATCGTTTCTTTTTAGACAAAGTGCTGAACCAAAAGCTCCAACATATTGTCTCTTTTTATTCCAACTGTTGTTTTGGATGGAGAAAACAGGGTCGTTGAAGATTGTTGAACATTTTATATGTTTTAATAATCCCTCAAGCTGAGAGAAATGCTTACTTTATTAACACTTATATCCCCACTTCATTCATGTTTAGGAACACTTTGTATCACACTGAAGTGTTTCTGTCCTCTGTGGTTTCAGTGTGCCAGAGTTTCGCGGTGCTGGAGGATGGAGTGTTGGCACATAACCTGCAGGAACAGGAGAGTGAGTACAATGTCAAGCTGCAGACTACATCACTGTGTAAACATTTGTTTAATGTGGGCTCCAGCTTTACTTATCCTGTTAAAGGATTTAGTTTGATTATACTAAGCAGCTACTAGACCCAAGTAACATATTTGTGTGAAATGATGAATTAATCTTATGGTAAAACAGACTTGGTTACTTAAGGTGATTATGTTGATCTCCTTCTTGGCTAGCTTGTGTCTCTTACAAATGGTTTGTATGTTGTTGCCATTTTGCCCAGTAAACAAAGGGACATGTAATTAGGTGTCAGTTTGTGAGATTCCTCAGAAGTGAGTGTCCCAAAAACAACCCAGAAAAAAGGGAAAAGTCATCAGATTTACAGTAAAAGTAAACATACATACAAACAAATATGTTTAAATAATATAGTAATTCAATAGAGAAGTTATTTATGACTATATCCTAGATAACACATGGTCCTTTATCACCACACACTGTCTCATCCTCTGCCTTTCTCTCTGCCTTGCTCCCATAGTCGAGCAATACTATACCACCAACATCCAGAAGAACCAGCTAGTGCAGAATGACATCCGCGTAGCGAAAATGCTGCAGGATGAGGAGGAAGAGGAGCAGGCCATTCAGAGCACCCTCTCCAGACACGCCTCCAGACAACTGTAGGTGACCCCTGCTGCCCGAACGCACTGTAACACATCTCACACTGTAACACATCTCACACTGTAACACATCTCACACTGTAACACATCTCACACTGCGGCACTGAGTCCTCACCTCCTGCATGGCACTTAACCCTACTGTGTGAAGATTTACCATGCATTACGTTATTTTTATTTAAATTGGTGTGTAATGTGTTGGTATATAACATGAGTCACAAGTGTAAAAAGTAATTTTCTTACCTTACTGTCTGCTAGAGAGGAGGAAGACTTTGAGTACGCCCGTTTAATCCAGGAGGATATCCAGCGCTGTTCTGAGCAGGCCCGGAGGAGGGAGCAGGACGATGAGGTGAGAAAAAGACTGTTGGGAAATGTATTATTATGTCTGCGTCTAGTTAACATTTCTCTAATTAGTACATTACAGATCTAGCCATTTTTTTTCTGACTGCAAAATCAACAAATGCAAAATACTGCGAAACAAATCTTTTGTAGTAGTCACTTTTATGGATGAAAAGGCAAGCAAGATTGAGCAAATACTGAGAAAGTCATGGACATTTGAACTTGTCCGACCATCACAGAAGACAGCAAAGCATGCACTCAGTTCACTAGGGCTGTACCCGAATATCCGAATATTCGTTCGTTCGAGTACTATTCGGGTTTCAATTTCGTTATTCGGATATTTGTTTTTTTGTTTATTTATTGAAATCTCCAATATCAACGTAAGAGCTTGTGCCTCTTCGGGGGGTGCTAACACTTAACCATAAACTTTATTGTTTACTTTCTCCGTCTTTATATGTAGATATGACTTTTCTCCGTTAATCTCCGTCACGTTGTTTCCATAGCAACAACAACTTCCTGTCAACAGTGCTAACTCTCCTTCAAAATAAAAGCATGTCCATAAATAGGAAACCAAGCCAAATTACACTTAAGACATATATACAACTGCAACGAAAGTAACAAACACAATGCAATATCCTTTTCAATTTCAAAGAACACAAATTGGGTTATATACATTAACAAATAACTATAAAACAACAATATACCAAAAAATGGTATTCGGGACAGCCCTAAAATTCACCTGATGTTTGAAAGCTGATAGAGGAAACTCACAATAGAAAGGACCCTCACTTCAGACAATTATATGATATTAATTATGGAAATTAGAATCTTTATTTTCACCATAACTATAAAGGGAATATTGTGGAAGATAGAAATAGTCATGCCCCTTGTATGACTGATTAAGGTTGAAAATGGTTGAGGTAAGCTTGGAACCGAAAGTTGTTCCAGCTAATACAAAGACATAATATGAAGGCAAAAGTGTCATCAAAACATTTCAAGAGATTTGCTACTGAAAGAGGAACAAATCCTTTCCTGAGGGTGTCAGGTTACCGTCAGCAACCGGAGCACAGCGAGACGCTTTCCTTTATGGACGAGTTTGACTTGGCACAATGCAGTGATAAAACAGAACGTTAGGGGGAAGAGCATTTCTTAAAGGGATATTCCACCTAAAAGGCTTCTTTGAGTATCCACCACTCACAAACTTAGGGCTTAAAGTTGCTTTCCCGTCAGTTTCTGATGTAAGAAGTAAGTATCTGGTTAGAGCCACGATAGACAAAGTGTTAATGAAAAATGCAAAAGGATTATCGGACTCAGTGAATGATGCATTCTGTAGGACGTGGTGCACAAAGCAGAAAATAAAGCTGCTTTTGAAAGTAGATGAATGCTTCCGTGCAACTTAAACTACAGAGCTCTGGACACAGAGGACTTGGCACAAACTTAAAACATCACCAGCGCTATACGTAAACTGCAGCTCATTCAGCACAGGGACTCATAGACTTTTATGGCTACCAGGACACACTTGTATATCATTTAATTATCTCCTTGTTACCAGCAGGTCAGGGAGTATGATATGGTTCACTCTGCTCTCTCTTAGGACTGACTGAATCCATAATAAATGGCTTTTGCTGCAGAGTGCTGCCCGGCGCCTCTGATGTATGAGCAAAGTCAGCTGTTAAACAGAGAGAGACACAACCTGTCAGATACCCATCTCCATCTCCAGCTATTTAAGCTTGCTTATTAAGCCTCACAGGATGAGCCCACTTGACATGTGTACAACCTTAACTGTGCAGTTTGAGTATGAGGCAGGTTAAGTAAAAACATTATCTATACGCTGTTTTTAATCAAGAAAGTGACTCAGGCTTTTTTGGTTATCCTTTCCATTAAACAGATCGACCATGTTACTTAATTTCTCCTTTAAATGTTATACATGTTTAAGTTTGATTTAAAGGATAGTTTTTCACTGCTAGTGGCGTCACTTCGATAGATTCATCTGTCCACTAGCTTTAAACCAGACTGAAAATCTACAAAAAATGTGGTACAGACAATAATTTCCCCTCTTATTAAATCTTATTAAATCTTATTAACTTTAGTAATCCCATCACTTTCCATCTAGTGCCATCATCAGGTCAAAAACGGAATTCGTCTGAGACTTCAGTTTATGACCTAATACATGCAAAATATTCTCATCCACCACAGTTGTTATTTGTTCTCAATACTAATGAGCAAATAGTATTGGGTTAACATGCTTAACTAAGATCCTGACCATACCTGCTGAACATCAGCATGTTAATATTGACATTGTGGGCATGTTGGCATGCTGATATTCAAATGTAGCCAAAAAGAAACAGCCTCACAGTGCTAAGAGCGCTCTTGTTTTTGGTCGTAAACAATATGGTTACATTTTAAAAACACATATGACAAGATCTACATTTTGCAGTGATGATTGACATTTGTTTTTCATTTACCCTAGTTCTAAATTGAGGTACAGCACTAGGTCTGTCTAAATCTTTGTAAATACAGAAGCAGTTGTTCTTGAAGTTGCAACCCCAGCACGACTGGGCAACCAGATGGTTCCCATCAATCACCTCTCTGTTGTTGTTCCAATGCCCAGACCCTCAAAACCATCTTACGGTCCGTGCATGTTTACAACCCCATGTGCATTTCTCAACATCAGATTTGGGCTGTGTAAGAAAAAGGGCATTGTGGGGGGAAAAAGCCAACTGTGCCATGAAACTCCCCAGCTGGCCCGGTGGAGTGGTCTGCGTCACAAGGCCGCTCCAGCATAATATTTTCCTTTAGCCTGCAGTTTCCTTTTTAGAGCAGGCTGCCTTGGACGGGCTTATAAAAGCTCCTTGTTTAGAGGCTGTGAGGTCAGAGGCTGTGGGGTTCATTCATCGTTATTGAAGGGGTTTGGCTTTGAACACTCTGGGTAAGTTGGAACCAACATGAAGTGTCTACACTACACTGGGAATAAAGGGGACTTTCACCCACTGGGTTAAAAGTCATGCTAGGTTATCCAACAAATGGCACGAGACTAGTTAGTTTAGTTTAGTTTAGTTTATTTATTTTTTTCGAGCGTGTAAAACCAAAGAAAATACAAATGAAACAAAAGGTGATACAGACATGATACAGTACTATACAAATGAATGCAATAACAAAACGAAACATTTAATTAATAATTGAATAATCTGTAGTATCATTGTCTGATATCAATAAACAACAAAGCTTTAGCTAATTACACGTCCGAAAAGGGGTCGGAAGAAGTTTACACTTATTTAATCCGACCCCTTCTCCCTTATTTATTTTTTATTATTATTTATTTTTTTTACATCTTAAAGGAGAGGTGTCATGGCCATTTCCACTGATCATAATTCCATTGTTGAGGTCTACTAAAATAGATTTATACTGTGCATTTTTCCAAACTCACATTGGTTTCTCAAACAGCATCTCTGTAAACTACTTGTATTCACTGAATTTCACTCTCTGCCTTTAACGGCTCGTTGTAGCTCCCAAAGCTCCAGCCCCCACCCTCCCTGTGAGCACAGTGTGCTCTGATTGGTCGGGACGTTGTGAATCGCGCTGAGCTCCGTGGAGGTGTTGCTTCCTTGTTTAGGATACATAGCGAAACACAGCCAAACTCATCCTGAGCACACACAAAGTCACAGCCGAAGTAAAAACAATAAGTGTGGCTTGATATTGAGTAAGAAAAAGGTTGATAAACGCTGTGAGAATGGGTCTGCAGAGAGAATTTTGCCGCGATCCCAACTGTCTGTTATCAGCCTGCAGCCAGGGAGGAGAAATCAGCTGAGCTGCCTGCTCCCTGCACACAGATGTGTGTGTGAGGAAGTCCGTGGATCGGTCAATTTGGACCAATCAGCGGGGGCTTAACGTAACGGCTCCGCGGACGTAACGTAACGGCTCCACGGATTGGTCCATTTCGTTCCGGGTACCGCTTGACATCATGCCGTACCCGGAACGAAATGGAAGACTCAAATGGCCAATGACGTATCTCCAACGAGGCGTTTTGGGGAGGTATTTTCTGTGTTAGAGTTTTACTCGCTACAGGGTGTACTTTGAGGGTTTAGACTCTGCACACCGTTTACATGCATAAAAACCTTCATAACACACAAGGGGACGGGTAATAACCGGAAAAGCATGACATGGGAGCTTTAATATATGTTAACATACAATATAAACGTATACTTATAATCATGAATAATTTATATAATCATTCATATAATATATACAGGCAAGTTAGGACAATGGTCTCTATATATTTATATATATACATACACAAATTCATACAAACACAAATTCATAACTACATCTATTCCTGTGTGCATGTTATCATTTCCTTTGAAGAGTATTGATGTAAAGATTAAATTATGAACTATGAACTCTCCCGTTAGCTTTCCTTAATGAGCGGCTGATCAGAGCTGTTGATTAAATATTTGCCTCCCTGTAGATTGTGTCTTTAATTAATGAACAGAATGCACCAGACTGTGCACTTTTTAAATGCCAGATCCCCGCGGCCCCCCCACGCCTCACCTGCCATGGCAAGCTGCTTATTGTCTGCTGATGCTGGCAAAGTGGTGGACACGCGAGCCCGGATTGTAAAGCAAAAGGAGCTGTGTTGGCTTTTAGTTATGATTGATGTTGCAAATGCGGCCTACAGAGAGGTTTTATAGAATTCACTAGTAGAATTTGCTGATTTGTGAAGAACATTACTAGCCTTTTAAATGGAAAGTAACAGAGACATGGTGGGTGGTTCTCCTTCAGAGAGCAGTCAAGTACATCAGCTTTGGTCAGAGTGGGCATTCCCCAGTGACAAGGTGTTACTTCAGGTGTAACAGTCCCGTTGTTAACCTGCTTCTGTTGGAGTTTTTCCCGCTCCAGAGTTCATGCTACAGGAGATTAACAGTTTGTTTGTCTCTCATGTCGTCTACTAGTCTCCATAGAGTTAGCTACAGCTCTGCCTGAAGTAATAGGTGTGGCTACTCAGAGCTCAGATGTCAGATCACCTCAGAAGTGGCACAATGTCAACCAACATGCATTTGGTGAGCGGCTCTGTAGACATGCCGGATGTAGATTAATTACATTCTTGCTTGATGTAAACTCAGTCAATCCAATCACCTCTGAACGGGGTAAAGAATTTGGCTCATGTTTTCTTTGTGTTGTGACTTGAAAGCTTATAATATATACATTTATATCAAATCAAATAGAACCTCAAGCTCTTTAAGGCAGAACATGGTGATGTTAAACAGACAAGCAGCATCTACAGCAAGATACTTTTTTGTACATTGTGGAAATAAGAAAAGCATGTATTAGATTACATTGAAAGTGTCCTATAGATTTTGTAATATGATTTATTTTTAAGTAAGTTGTGGAAACGGATGCTACCTTGCTTTCTTCTTACACTTTCTATGTTATGCTGCCATCTGCTGGTTGGAAACGGCACAGATAAAAAGATGTCTTTATTTGCCGTCCAGTGGTAAAGCTTGTTGACATTTTGTAATGCTATTACCCAGATCATTTCATTATCATGTTCATAATTATGTTTTGATTTAAAATGAATTAGCCAAAATAATTTTATAATCGTATTATTGGCTTTGATACTCGGTGAAATAAAAGGTTGTAGCAGAGTCACTTCAATCGAATAGGAAATTATTTTCAAAGTCGAGGCTTGTATCTATTTTATTTTCTTATTTGACAGACCAGCTTAATACTCTGTAATCTTCATTTAGCCTAGATTCCTAATAGGTTACTCATTATGGTTTACAATGCGGAGAATCATTCAACATGTCGGTGTCTCCACAGGAAATCGCTAAAGGATTGCAAGAAGAGGAGAAGCAGAGAATCACGAGGCGGAGCAGAGGGCAGGACAGTGAAGGTACCGTCTTTGTTCTGCCTGTATTCCTATTTGAGAACATTTGTCAGCGAACATTAGATACTGCAAACAAATCTTTAATACATTGTGAGGATTTGTTTAGTTTTTAGGGACTTAATGAAAAAGAAAAGTGTGTTGTGTACTTGGTATCGTATGTGGGTTTGTTTCTAAGATTGAGAGACTTTTCAGTTGCACTTAATGGAAGACAAACACCACAGCTTGTTCAGCCTCTCTCTATAACCATGCTTTGCTGCACTGCTAATGCCTATCATTGTTATATTTTAACACGCTCTCTCAATATATAACGGCATGAACAAAACATTCCAAACATCTACAGTATATTATCTCCATAATGTTATGAACAAGCTGCAACTAACATGCATGTCTTTTAATGTTGTGTTTACAAGGTACTCATGTTACCAAATGTTTTAGTTGTGTCTAAAACATTGATATAATACATATATTTAATGCAGTGTATTACCTTTATAATAACAGCACCTCTTTAATAGTTCCTGCTAACAGCCTCACCCATGCACCCTGCTTTTGTGTTTGCATGTTGGCATTACTAAAGGCAGCACCAGTGACCCTGCACTGCCATCTCCACACCAGCACACACTCAGCAGCCCACACCAAGGAGAGGAGCAGTACTCATCTAGCACCAGCAGGTGGCAATGTTCTACCTCTCACAACCATTCAGACTTAACTCGTCCTCAGGCTGACTCCCCCAGGGGGGTAGCAGCTCAGAGAAACACAAATTCAGGGTCAAATCAAGGACACACAGATTCCAAAAGGGGAATCAGGGGTGAGCGTGTGAGTGAGGACTCAGAGGACTCGGACACAGTGTTCTCTGAACAGCTCGCTGTCTGGTCCCAGAGACTGAATGAAAGACTCAACACGGCACCCCCTCGACGACGGGCTTCTTCAAATGAGCCAGAAGAGAGAAACTGTAGAAGTCTTTCCTCTCGTAGCAGCTTTACAGAGCAAGAGAGAGGAGAGTTGAATCGGGAACATTATGAAAATGCCAACCTAGAGGAGAGGAGGCCCAGGGTTTGGGATCAAGCAAGACGCCATGGTGAGGAGTATGAGGGTTCGCACAGGAGCAGAGATCAGGATAAAGACTGTAGGTTAGTGGAAGTAAGAGAAAAGCGATGTAGTCGTAGTGAATCGGTCAGGCTACACGACGGGGGTAAACACAAAGACTTAGCGAGGACCTGGAGCTATAGGGACAGCCCCGACAAACGTGTGCATTTTCAGGACCACTCCAGGAGCTCTATAAGGCCGCAGCAGGGTGAGAGCAGAGGAGTCTGGGAGATGCTGGGCCAGGTCCTCAGAGAGAGGGGCGTGCCTGTGAGGTTGGGCGGCAACGGGGCGCCACTTCAAATAGGGCCTCAAAGCAGAGACAGCCAGGTGCTTCACGGGAGTGAGGTCTCCTGCGGCGACTCCCTACCACATCAGAGAGTCTTCCAAAGAGCTGCCAACACCAGGCACAGTTTCCATGGAGATACCCGGGAGAGGAGGAGGTTGTCACACCGAGAGAACAGTGGGAGAGATCACACGGAAGACCGGCTGCGAAATAATGTGGAGCGTGATGAAAAGGTTTATGAGATTAGTAGGAGAGACTCACATCTTTCTAGCAGAGAAAGGGGAGGCAGCAGAAGGTGGAAAGAGCACGGATACACTAATGATGACGAGAGGGAGAGGAATGCAAATGACGGCAGGGTCAAAAGGACAACGAGCGAACGCAGGCGTTGGCACCAGACCATAGAGGAAAGGTTGAGCTCAGAGGAGGAGCAGGAGGTGGAGAGGAGAGTGGAGCGGCCCCATCGCAGAGCCTCACAGCGCAGCCAGAGCCTCAGCAGCAGCCGGGCTCCAACAGGAGATAGGTCGAGGCACGAGGCAGCAGGTAAAACCCAGAACTGCCGCCAACTCCAATCTGCAGAGAAAAAGACTTCCAAAGATGTACACCTCTCTGTGTACATCCACTCCTTTCATCTTCCCTCAATCATCGTCTAATCTGGACACATCTGGTTTCACTTTGGGGTCTCTCACTGAAGGCGAACATTTCCCTGTCCATATCTATTTCTCCAGTAGTCCTGAAACAATCTTTAGTGTGGGCTTTTATTCTTATCTTCATCTTCATTCCTTTTAGTTTTGATGTGGTGAGGGGATAAGTACTATGTGGTGCCTTTTTTTTTTTTAAAACACCTAGCAACATGCCCTTACATGCTGCATCCTTTTCTCTCTAAGTGTGATTCAAATGTCATCGCTGCCTCTGTTTCAGAACATTTGTGTGATTCATCCCTGATTTTCATGTTTTATGGACTTTCCTTACTCCTTGTATGCATCACACTTCAGTTCCTTTGAATTTAACAGTCATCCCCCCCCCCCCCCCCCCCCCAGGAGCGTCATTGCAACCGGAGCCAGTGGGGGAGAGCCTGGACCTGGGGGAGCTGCATCAGGTCCTCAAGGATGAAGAACTTGCTCTAAAGCTGCAGGAGGAAGAGGAGAAGCTGTTGAGGAGGGTAAGAGTTTCTCTTGACATGTTGTGATTTAGGAGTTAAAGGTAGGGGTAGGTAAGTTTGAGAAACCGGCTCGAGATACACTTTTTGTTATATTCCATGGAATGCTCTTAACATCCCGATAGCAATGAATATCTTAAGTGCTTTGACAACAAATCCATAAAAAAATGTCATCTGTGGAAGCCGTAGTACTGTAAAAAGCACGACCAATCATTTTAGCCGGCCCGGCTAAAATAACTGGATGGCCTACCTGCCTGTCAGCCTTCCATCTGTGCACAAACTTATCTCGTGCCCTCATTGGTCATGTGCGCGATCGTGTGTGTTGGAGGAGGGGCTCTGTAAGGAAGTGGCAGATTTTTTCCGGCTGTGTATTTTCAAATTCTAGCGATCTCGAGCCGGTTTCTCCAAAATGAACTACCCCACCTTTAAGGACAAAAAATCAGCTTCTCTTTTCATTCATTTTTTTTTTGACTTTTGTTCTGTGCAGAACTCAGAGCCCTCTCCATGTTGTCCTTACCCAGAGGGAGACTTCAGAGCAGCACAAGTGGCGCAGGATGAGGTACAAAACATGTCATCACTATCCATGCATCCATTGTTAATATTAAAAACCTTTGGAACGATGTATTGTTTTTTTAACCCTAGGAAATAGCCCGCTTTATGCAGAAGCAAGAAATGAAGACAAAGCGAAGATCCCGCGAGCTCGAAGGGCCGTCGTCGTGGCGCGAGCACAGATCGATGACCAGTCATCACGACAGACGGGCTTCAAGAGACAGACCGGTACATGTGTTGTAAATCATTCAAACTGTTACAGTACATATTATAGTCTTGAATGTCTTTCTTTGCTCTTTTGACTTGCTACAATCATTTCTCTTTTGGTCATTTATTTTAACAAGGTGATGAAATTATAACAATTCTTGTTAAAAAAAAGTCTATAGTTAAAGCTGTTTTAAGATTACCCTACGAGTGCTACATTTATGTTTTTTTACTGTTTGTACTTTATCTCATCTTATTTTTATCAATTTTATTTATGTATTGTTGATATCACGTTCTATCTTGTCTTTTTGTTATTTTTGTTGTGGTTTTGTTTGTCTTTTGGTGCTGTCATGTATGGTTCAAATCAAATCAATTCAAATCAAATCAAGGTTTATTTATAAAGCACATTTAAAAGCGATTTTTGGTCGGGCCAAAGTGCTGTACATGTAATAACTACAATCACATAAAAACACATTTCTATAATCACAATAAAAGACAATAAATTACAACAGATATTTAAAAAGAAAACACAGGGAAAAGTCAGGAGTCATGCTCCGCTCTGACTAAAAGGCCAGGGAGAAGAAGTGTGTCTTAAGAGTAGATTTAAAAACCCCTAGGGTCTGGGCCGACCTCACGTGGAGGGGCAGAGTGTTCCAGAGCCTGGGGCCAGCTGCTGCGAAGGCTCGGTGCCCTCGGGTTTTGAGCCTGGTCTTGGGCACTACCAGCAGCAGCTGGTCAGCAGACCTTAAAGCTCTTGTTGGGGTGTAGCGCTGGAGGAGTTCAGCTATATAGGCCGGAGCCAGCCCATTTAGTGCTTTAAAAACAAATAAAAGGAGTTTAAAATCAATTCTGAACCGAATTGTAAGCCAGTGTAGTGAGGCCAGAATAGGGGTGATTTGGTCACGCTTTTTGTGGCCAGTGAGTAGACGTGCAGCTGCGTTCTGGACTAGCTGCAGGCGTTTAATTGACGCCTGGTCCATACCCACGTATAGAGCGTTGCAGTAATCCAACCTCGAGGTAACAAAGGCATTAATAACCCTTTCCAGGTCCTCAAACGATAAAAACGACTTAGTCTTGGCCAATAGTCGTATTTAATTGTTGCTAATCTTTAACTGAGATATACGTGTTTAGAGATATTGGGCTATATAAATAAACTTTTGCTGATTTGTCCACTTAGGTCCAACGAGAGAGGCTTGACTCAGAGGGCCTTCCTTCCCCTCCTGAGGACGGCTCCCCAGAGAGCCAGCCACCCAGCACCTTCTCCACAATACCGTAATTGTCTCTACATGAAAATACATGACATTGATTCTGTATTTGTACCATATGTCTTGCATCTACTTTACATGCTGACGTGCAAATGTGCGCTTGCAGGCAAGCCCAGCCGATCAGAAACATTGCGGAGGAACTGGACCCGACCTTCAGGGCCGGGAGGTCGGACCCGGAGAGCCTCAGAGTGGGACAGGCAGGTCGGTAAAAACAGGGAAGATGAAGCTTGCGCCACAATGGGTGGACACTCACATCCTGTTTCCTTTTGTTGCAGGTCCAACCTGTCAGTCACTTCCTATGCCACATCCTGGCTTACACGACCTACTCGAGGAGCCTGCTTTCATCCCACCCACAAAACGGCAAACGGACAAATCAGGACGCTCAAAACCCAAAGAGAAGAAGGAAAATTGCAAGCAACAATAATTGTTTTCAACACGCTGTTGGAGTGTATATATATATATATATATATATATATATATATATATATATATATATATATATATATATATATATATATATATATATATATATATTATATAACACTAAACATCAGTCCAGCTACAGAGGATTAAGTTCTCTCTCCCAGCTCCCCCTATTAGCACTTTAGACCAGTGGAACACATCACAAGTGACATTTTACAATATTTCTTGAGTAAGTGAATATTTACTCATTCTGTAACGGTTTTCAAAGGGAACATTTTGGTTCATCAAAGTATTTTAATTCTCAGTGTTAATGAGTGTTTAATTTAAACAGTTTGTGTTTTTTCTATCGATTTTGTTTCTTTAATTTGTTTTTATTTAGTTAAGCAGTGAGTATCCATCCATTATCTATACCTGCTTCATGTCTTCATGTTACCAATTAAGGCCGAAAGTCTCAGGCCGACCGGTTGGCTCTGTGCCTCTTCCAAAAGCGTCCAATATTTAAAATGACAAAACAAGAAGTTCCCTGTATAAACTTTGAAACTGAATGACGTGGTCTTAGACACGCTACTTTAAGACTTCCGCTTTCTGAGTGCCTGCTATTTGTCTCAAGCAGTTTGTCATGGCTCCAGCCAAGTTTAAAATAGTACGATGACAATCAAATGAACATATTTAACCCTTACTAGGGTTTTTTGAAAAACATACAACCATTACAAAATGTTGAAATGTCTAAATGATACTATATCCCTTAATTTTAAGTTGAAATAACTTGGTTTATTTTCCAGGTGGATTTTTAAAAACATCAGACAGTAATGATGGCAGCCTTATTCAATACACAGAAACCTTTTTTCTAACAAGCATTTTTATTTTGTATGATCATATATAACCTCCACATTTAAAACACTATACTTGTTGTGTTTTTTGGTTGTGTGTTTTTTATACATATAAAAATATATGCCACGGCTTAAGTGGACCACTATGAATGCAATTGTTGTAAATGTATTTAAATGCAACAAATAAAAAAATAAATCCTATTACATTGGCTATTTGAAAACTCCTAAACATACAATGTAACGGCATAGTACAGTGTAATCCTGGACAGTTGTGAGGATAACAATGATAAGGCAGACAGCTTAACTTATATACGAAACAACCCAGAAGTTCATACATACATCAGATAACAGTAAAGTGCTACAGTTCGTACATGTTACTGTATAACAGCCTGTGGTAAGTGAAGGCAGCACCTGCAGCTCTGTGGTCTTTGTACAGACCTCACCACCCATGAGTTGTGACTCATGCGTCTTTACACACACGTATAGGTGTGGACTACGTTTAAGCCCACGCGACACATTACGCAAACGTTCCATTTCATACAAATGTACGCCTGCTACAGTTCAGTTTAAGATAGACATGCGTTTGTGAGAAGTTCCACTTGGTCTGATCTAGCTGCCTACTCCATTGTGCAATAAGAAGTACAATTCTGACTGGGGGGGTTTCCATCGGACCCTTGAGCCTCTTCTTGATATTTGATGAGGATTGTTCAATTGCTAAGTGTGCATTCAATTTGTCATGAGGATTTTCCAAATGAGTCATTTATCATAAATCATAAATAGCCATGACTAATCGCATTGTTTGACATTTCATCTCAATAGACATTCCTGTTGGGATACCCACTGTGTTTCCCAACTGTTGCTCAAGAGGCATGTTTCAACCTGCTCAAAAAGGGTCAACTGAAGCCAAAGCACCAAAATGATAAGCCGACTGCTATACACTACATTCCCAGGTGCTTTAACCTATGGTACGATTACTTGTTGACAAAAGGGAAACTCCCGTCACTGGACTTTTTTACACCAATTAAGCAGCTGTAGGAAAGTCCATGTACTTCCTGGCAATGTTAAATAAAATGAAAGAGAAAAGATGTCATGCTGTATTAAACATGACCGCTTTGTTATAATACACAAATCTATTATCTTCTGTGTTCTATAGATGCATTAAAATAAATATATGTAACAAACTATCATCTGAGGCACCATAGAATCATGATCGACACACTATTGTTCTAGTTTGTCAGCTGTAACATAGAGAAATGTACAAATTCAGCAATAAACCGATAACTAGGTTGAACAACAGGCTATGAGTAAAACAAAAACATCTATTTTTGGAGGAATATGTGGGCTAAGCCTGAAGCATGACTAAAAACTGTCTGCTGTCAGTGTTACTCCTACCCACATTCACACAGAGCTCTTTACTGCTCATGCAAATATCATAGTAGTCAAAAACTCATTCATTTAAAACACTACACTACATGTTCACAGTCCATCGGCACAAGTCTAGTTTGTTTGGAAATAATTTACTCAGGTTTCTAAAGGCCTTCGTTTTTTAATGGAGTGTATTTTTATCTGTTGCCATGGTTAATCCAATATTTCACGTTTCCCAGCTCCCCCCTTATCTTTCAAGCTGACCTAAAAGGGAAATGCACAGTCTGATTTTCGGCCTACATGGTGAATGAATAGGCTGTTGTTTGGTTTTGTATTTTCCCACAGAATTCCCCCTGATGACGCTGTATCTAATTATTAAAAGATACAAATATATTCTTGTAGAGCGAAATGTGACCTCATACCTGTCCTATCAAGAGTTTCCCTGTAGTTTTGGTTGTTCTAATAAAAGAAAAATATGGTGGTTGAAAGACAGCTGGGTAAACAAATTACTCTCTTTCATTCAGAGCCAACATATGAAAAAGACTTCCTCCTGGTTCAGTATTCAAAACAAGCACCTTATTATATTATAAAGATTATAAAGATATCCTGTTTCCTCTCACTGCATTTGACGAAAACAAAATATGACCTTCAGTGTGGAACAGTAACAAAATCCCCTTTGATTCATGCGATGAACTGATCCGAAGAGTCTCTGCATCCGAGCAACTCTGAGCGGCTGCCCTGCTCCTGCTGAGCCTCGTGGAAACTGCACTCTACTGCTACTGCTATCAGCGTCCTGGGATCATCTGTGGAAGTGAAAGAGGAACATTTTTAATACTTTGTTTCTTGTATTTGAGATTGGCTTGAGAAACATATTTCATAATCCCAATCACTCGTGTAATATGGTTGAGATAGTTTATCGTGAAATGCAGTGGTGACTACCTGTAGGTGTTGTGATTATCGGCGTTGATGTGATTGGCTTTTTTATGTTTTGCTTTTTTTTGTTGCTGTTATTCTTGGCCAAAATGGTGATGAAAAGGATGATGATGATGCTAAACACACACAGAACCACAGCGGCGACCACAGACAATGGCCATTCCTGTTCTGCGGGAGCTGTCACAAGAAATAGCAAGAAATTATTGCTGGATTTAGGTAAAAACAACTATATCACAAACGACTAGAGAAAAAGAATATCAACCTACCAGGTGTCTTTGAGCTTTCAACGGAAACATTCCCACACGTAATATCAGTAAGTGCATCTCCCTTGGTCACAATATTTTTACACCTTTGAGAAAAATAAAGTTGACATCAGAGTTTTCATCACATCGGACAGTCAGTGAAGCTGAGACACATGACAACAAATTGCAGAGATCAGGAACAGAACTCACTCTGTACTCCAGGGTTTACACCTCTGGTGAATTTGGTCATTGAAGGTTCCTTCTGGACATTTTCTGCAAGAACCTGTGCGGAAAATCATTCAGTTGACTTGCCACTCAACATCACCTCTAAATTGAATGTTTATTTGTCATGAGCGTATCTTTACTTACGTTTCTCTGTGGGTTCCTGACCTTTGTCGCACGTTTTAACACAAAAGGAACATTTGGCATCCCCACAGGTCAGTCCTTTTTTACAGCCACACTGTGTGTCAGTCGTGGCAGTGCACTCATTCTTCATGACCTGAGCACCTACATTTTCAAATATATAGAAAGAGAGTTGAAAGGATTGTTTGTGGAAATGAACGCTTGCAGTAGCTCGTAAAGAAATGTCTTGATCTGCTTACGTACCTACACACTGTGAACACCTTTGACATTGGAGGTCTGTAGGTTTCAGTATGTATTTCCCGGCCTCACAGGGAGTACAGAGCTCTTTTGGATTTGAGCCATATTCTTTGACCAGGCGGTGTCCTAAAGACAAGGGTCAAGGTAAAGGGTTAATTCATTGGTCATTTTATAATGATTGGTTTAAGAATACAATTTAAATTGTTTCCACGTCAAGCTACACAGACATAAAAGACAAGTATATTCATAAGAATAGAAGACAAATAGAAACAATATACTGTATAGATACTTATAAAAACACAAAGAAAATACAGACACAAAAAGCTATACTGTAATCTCTGTTACAGCTGACATCAATTAGATAAGTTGTTTCCATATAGTCAAATGTGTTCATAACGAGAGTTAAAGTGTTCAAGGTTGTAATGCAGCTCAGGTAAACTTTTACAACCGTTACTGACATTCTAGTATTTATCACAGATCCAAATTATTAGATTTATCAGTTCCACCATCCTTGCCTTTTCTCTTTGTTGTGGTATTAGTTGAAAAACCACTGAAACTATATTTGGTTTCAAGTCACCACCGCAGAGGAACTGCTGGAATATGATTTGTTCACATCCACAGACAAAAGCATTCAACTAGGTTAACTTTTTATTTTGATACTTTAAACTTTTAAAGCCCAGTATTACCAGTATTATCTCTGCATATAAATGAACTAAATCAATTAATTCACAACCATACAGAATTGTAATGGACATTATCTCTGCTATTACTTACCAGGGTTACAGGCTTCACAGCGAACATCGTTTCCTGGTCCTTCGGTCCACTTCATGCAGCCACTGTTCGTCTGCACAGCACTGCACATACAGCCCTGAATGAGCACAAAGACACCTATAGCCCATAGGATCCATCCCATACTGTCAGCTCTCATAGTCCCCATCAGAACAGACTTTAGGTAATCCAATCCAAGAACTATGGCAGGTAACTAACTATTGTTTAAGAAGAAAGAAGATACTTATTCTTCTTTTGTTTCTCTGAATCTGTAGCTTAGCTCTATTTGTGAGTCAGCTCTGTTATGGGTTTGAAACAGGAATATGATGTGAAGAAATATCTCTGTGCTGTGGCTTTAGCTGACTCACTCTCTAAGCACTCACTCACTTACTCACAACCAACCAGCTGAGCATTTATACTCATGGGGGGCGTGTCCTGGAGTAGGCTGTACTAATACTCCCCTGAAATAATATGTTCTATTTGATTCTATTATTTGTTTGATATATTCTATAACGTGGCTAATAATGTGACTTTAAATCAGTTACACATTAGTTAAAACCCCTACATGTTTAAAACTATAACATGGTTGCAATTCCTTTTGATCATTTAATAAGATAACTTCAGTGAAATTTATTTTCATTTATATTTGAAGATAATTACAAAGGTCACCACCAGTGTGACTAATAAGCCAGTTAAATTGCCCTGTCATGTTGTTTTAGTCACATGCTCTAGATCTTAAACTTGCCTAACTTGCCTAACTTCTGAGTTGTGAAAATGTTTCTCCCTTAGTCATTGAAGGCACCATCAATCATGGAAAGAGGTAGTGGCAGAAGGCCAGCCGCAGAGCACGCGGTGAGAGGACTGCCATACAACTCATCATGCTCACACATGTGGTGTTTGCCGTACTACAAATATGCAGTAGTAAAAAATATCAGAAAAAAACATAGTAACTGTTAAGGAATAATTCTTCTAGATATCTAATCTTTTACTCTGACATATGTTATCTCCTTTAAGGAAAGGCCTTGGTGCCATATGTGTTGTTGTCCCCAGTGTGAGACCGGTCAACTTGTCTGGCACGTAGGGTAATTGTTGTGAGAACACTGAAGCACTTCTTTATCGGTGTTTGTGGGCTCTCGGATGTGAAATCCTTGAGGCCATGAGCGTTGGACGCAGATGATTCAGTGTTTAGTCTACTCCTTCAGAGATGTTGATTACTCTCTATGAACCAGTTAAAAGGTCTAGCATAGAGAGAGGTTCTTCAGAATTGACGTGGCAACTCTACCGTGTGGTCAGAACCTCTGACTCTTTGATTTGTGATGTGAATCCTCCGGCCGAATACTCTGAATAAACCCATCAGTGTTTGACATCAAAGCTCCAACTCTCACCGTGTCTCCTTCCTGAGTCGATGACTCCATGCATTACTACACAGAAGTTTCCTCCACAGTACTCTTCTTGGTTGAAAAAAGTCACAATATAGAACAAATTAATTGGTGAAAGAGGTGACTTCTTTACATCTGAAATAACGACACATTTTAAATGATTAGGCTCATCCTGAATGGGTTCAGAATCCTCTAAATATGGGGACATTTTCTATGTGTAACAATATATCTTGATTGTAGATTATTTTCTGTTCAATTCTCTTGATTTGTTTTATGAAACTGAATGTAATCTCCAATCAAGATATATATAAATATCATTTTTTCGACTTGCTATACTATGACTTTTTTGTTCTGAAACTTTCGACATACTATACTATGTTGTTTTTCCTATATTATATTATTTCATTATTTGCGATATTTTTGACATTGTATATTGTTTCAAGTTTTTTTTCAACATGCTATCCTATGTCGTTTCTTAATTTTTCGACATGCTACACTTTACCCTTTTTGGTGAAATTCTGACAATATATTTTTCGTTGTTTTTTGGATATTCTATATAACGTGGTTTATTTTTCTGATATCTTTAGGCTAATAAACATTGACTATTTTTTAAATACTATGCTAATCTTATAACTATTTATGTGAATTATATTTTATGACAAACTAAACTATGTCTATTTTAACATCATACTTTTTAGACAATTTCATACACATTTCTATTAGGGTAAAATAATGTGGTGGTTTGTTTTGGCATATTTGCTATATTTCAGTGGCCAGATGTACTAAGGTAACAGTTTGAGAAAGAGTTGTTTGTGTATGAGAATATGTTATCTCATTGTGCCTGTTTTAAACTTTAAAGTACTTCAAGGTTGTTAAACAAAGCCTAATCTGATACCATTGTGAGGGGGGCTTTCCTGATTGTGGTCCACCATTGTCTCAAAATGTGCTAGAATAGAAACTAAAGCTAAATAGTGGCTAATAAGCATGGAAACCGAAACCAAAAATGCAGCATGTAAACAGTACTTCAGCTGAGTGGGATGTGTTTTTTCTAAACAACTTAATAGTGAATTTAATTTCAAAGGGAAGTGGTATTTCCTTACAGTAAATGTTTGACTTTGGAGAACGGGACATTTGCTGACTAATGATCAGATGGTAGGTGACAGCATACTGTACTTCTTCAGTTGTACCTTATCTTATGACTGAGCTTCAGAAATTACCCCCCAAAAAAAGAAGAAAGAAACCAACAACACAATACCACAAGACTGCCTGCTTTGTCATGTTTATACATCATAATCATACTTGAATGACATTTGGAAGATTTCACCTTTGACATTAATGCTTCTTTCTATGCCTATCATGGCCCGCCTACTTTAAGGGCATACACATTTTATATAAGGCTGTGACGTCCGAAGTATGTACCTCATTCGCCTACACACCCGAAACACCTCCCACCCTTAACCATCAACCCCCACCCCCACCCCCCTAAATTCAGCTATGAAGCACAGTAAACCCCAGTAGGTCAATTAACATACTGACTTGGGAAATTCTTTTGAGATGTTCAGTTAGCAAAGTAGTAATGCTTATTATGCTGCTGGTAAATAAGTGTGTGAGTGTGTGTATTTGCATAAAGGCTCAGTGAGAGTCAAACTGCAACCATGTCAATCTGGAACTACTTATTTTACATAATGATCCATATTATAAATATAATGCGGGCGACACAGATTATTGCGCTCTTGCCTCTTTTTTGGAGGGTACTTTTTAGTCTGCCTCTGCAGGCGAGGGTGTTATAAGGCTTTGACATCACTTCCTTCCTGACAAACTTCTTAGGACATCCTCTCAAGTGGGGGAGTGCGACGTCACCATCAAACAATAAATACTTCAAACTGCTGTGGTTGGTGGTCCAGCTGACAGGGGGGCTGTCTGGGCTTAAAGTACATTTGAACCTTTTAAGAGTAACGACAGCCCACGGGGAAAGTACACGCAGTAGCGCTGGTGCTCGGAAATTTCCTCTCATGGTGTTAAGTGTTTCAGTGTCATTTCAATATTGTGCGGGTGACACATTGGGTGTTGTGTTCTTACCTCTTACAATTAAACTGTAATCTTTACAAAGATGTCTACTCGACAACCTCTGTCCGTTTTGAGAAACTCTCTTGATTTTGAAGGATTATTCTAATTCTAATTTGGGTTAATAGGAGAAAATTACATAGTATGTCTCCATCTAGTGGTCCTGCGAAAACACAACCAAACAGGCGATTAGCATGGAAAATGCAGACATCATTTTGAACATATATATTTTATTCATATATATATAATAAATTTCTATGTACAATTTATTCTTCTTTTGTAAAGAAACAAAATTACAGAGAAAGCGTTGATTGCAAACAGTGTTTCATACCAAGGGGAAGGAGAGACAAATGGAAAAGTGCTCATTAAACTGTGTGTTATTTCAACCCAGTCTCACGGCATTTCGTGTTATAGTCACGAAATTAATTTAATCTATTGATTCGTGTCACACAACGATTTTAAAAGCAATGTATTTCTATTGGTATGTTTCGTGCCTGCAACACGTCTTTTTGTCCGGTCGGGTCGGGTCTTGGAAGACCAGAAGCTGTGGTTTATAAAAACATTTTCTTACTCAATATCTAACCCTAAGCCTAACCCTATCCCTTTTATTTTAAATTGTATAATGTCGGAGTTTTTTTGCCGTCCGCGAGGAAAATAAATGGCTCAGAGCCTCAGAATACTGAAATCTGTATTTTTTGTCATCTTTTTTTCCGTCTAATTTGTTATTATTTGGTGCAGGCACGAAACATACTACCAATAGAAATACATTGCTTCTAAAAATCGTTCTGTGTCAGAATACTGAAATCTGTATTTTTTTTTTATCTGTTTTTCCTTCTAATTTGTTATTATTTACAGTGCTTTTAAAATCGTTCTGTGTGACACTTAAAAAATGGCGAAATCGTGTTGGTGAACACGAATCAATAGATTAATTGTGTGACTATAACACGAAATGCCGTGAGACTGTGTTGGTTATTTCCATATTGTAACTATATTTTAGGTAGAAACAAGAGGGATTTGCCATTGTTTTGCAAGGAGATCAGAGTTTAAAGGCCAGGATTCCCCTAGAAGTCCCTTTGAACTCTTAAATGAGAAGCGCCAGATAATAATCATAAAGACGTCATAGACAGCTCGTACAAAATGAAGAAATATCCACCACAACATGTGATGCTTTGGCATTAATCACACTGACTTTTATCAAAGCTAACACTCGCTACAAAGGAGACAACCATGATGCTTTCAGCAGATTGGTTGATCTCATGTCAACACTTTGAGTTTGCTGTGGTGTCCACTGTTTGCAATCCTGTTTTAAGTTGATTAACTTACTTATATGTGTTTAAACCAAAGTGTTAAGAATGTCTGGGTTTAATCACTAACAGGAATAATGATACATTCAACAAAGCACAGCTAGGACAGTAGAAACTGTCCACTGATTCACAAGGGGTGATGTCTGATTGTCTGTCAGTCAACCTTAGTAGACAATGTACGACACCATCAATGCAACATAAATAACATCACTAAAATCATCCAGTGTACGGATTCTTCCTTTAGAACATTGGCAAGAGGTAAACCCCTCCCTCAATAATGGTAATACTTTAAACAAAATGTATTCATAAAATTTAGTTTCTTTAAAGCAGTTGAGACAGTCATGCAATATGCAGCCTAGTTAAACTAACGGCTGGCTACAGGGCTCCCTTACGAAATTGAAGAAATCGACGGATCTTGAACTAATCAAGGTTAGCTTTTTTAGTAGTTGGCAGGTAAGAGCTTAAAGGTGGGGTAGGTAAGTTTGAGAAACCGGCTCGAGATACACTTTTTGTTATATTCCATGGAATGCTCTTAACATCCCGATAGCAATGAATATCTTAAGTGCTTTGACAAAAAAATGTCATCTGTGGAAGCCGTAATACTGTAAAAAGCACGACCAATCA